CTATCAAAAGATTTGTTCTGAGACCTCATGTTTAGCTGATTAAGTCCAGGTCCTCTTTAGCACTGTCTCATGCCAGTCATTCTCCCAGATTCCAGGTGTGCCTTTAAGGCTTTATCTTGAATGCATGACCTCCAGTTTGACTGGCTTGAGAGGAGTATTTTTGCAGAATAGCTTACAAAGCAATTCAAAGGAGTTCATCTAGGCTAATTGCTCTTATGTCTATTTATAAAAGCAAAGTAGTAATTTGGTGTTTTTGTCTCCGTAATTTATAATAGCACCAGGTCAAGAATAACACCAAGATAACCTTAGTCACTCCTCTCAAGAACTGTCACCTGAGTCACTTATGATCTTATTATCACTTACTGTGAGAAAAGGCTGAGGGAGCTGGGCTTGTTCGGCCTTGAAGAGAGACAACTGCAAGGGGACCTCATCAATTTCTACAAGTATCAGAAGGGAGGGTGTCAAGAGGATGGAGCCTGGCTCTGCTTGGTGGTGCCAAGCAACAGGACAAGAGGCCACAGGAAGAAATGGATGCATAAGGAGAGCCACCTGAACACAAAGAAAAACTTATTTTCTGTGTGGGTGACCAGGCACTAGAACAGGTTGCCCAGAGATGATGTGGAGTGTCCCTCAATAGAAACACTCAAAAACTATCTGAGTGTAATCCTGTGCCATGTGCTGTAGGATAACCTTGCTTGAGCAGGGAGATTTGACCCAGTGACCCACTGTGGTCCCTCCCAACCTGTCCCATTCTGTAATTCTATGATTCTGTGAACTACACAGCATTTGCACTCCTCATGGTATTTATGAGAATAGCATACAGCTTCACATTAGATGGAAGCTAATACTTCAACATTACCACCTTTATCTACCAAAGTTAAATTCAAACCCATTTAATCAAATATTTTTCATAAAAATATGTTGACAGGCATTTAATTATTGGCATTTAATGACTGTATCCAAGGCCAGCACTTCCACAATTCTGCCCCTAATCTGGGTCAAACTGTGAAACTGCCAGCCTGTGTCATCCTCCTTAAACTTTTTAAAATATATGTTCAATGTAAGCTTTATATTTTAGTACCCTGGCATTCCCCAGTATTCCGTTGCCATTCCAGAAGCTGTACTGTGAACGATTGAACTAATGAAGCCATGGGATTTTGTTAATTTTGATTCTTCAGCCCTTAAACAGGCTTAATTATAACTAAAATTTATTGTCCATTAGCCCTCTAAAAATCCTATCAAGCAGTCTGGAACTATGTCTACACAAAGTGGATGGCTAATACATACACACTGACTCGCTATTTGTTGCTGGAAGAATGTGTAAGAGCTGGGCTTTTTGCTTGCTATTCCTTCACTGAGGAAACAAATATAGGTTTATTTCCTTGGTGACATATCAATTTGCACAAAACTTACAGGACCATAATGACTTCCTCCAAATTAGATTGGAACCGGCCAAAAAGTCACGGAACAACAGACGGACAGATAACATAAATCTTGTTTAGAACATCACAATCAACGTACATTCATATTTGTTAGTCTGGAGATCTTTCTTAACTTTGTTTTATTCATGTTTAGCTTAAAAATGGTCTGATATTGACGTAACATAGTTGCTCTACAGATATTACCAGGTAGCCAGACAGTTTTACACTTACTTCTACTTAGATGTGATAAATTGATCAGCAGTGATACCAGGCTGCCCTCGGAGGTTCTGCTCCAGCTGCCCCACAGCTGCGGGCACCTCTACAGGGGGCAGATGCCCTGCCAGCCAGGGGATGTGGTGCCGGGGCAGGATCCCACAATCAGTGTGTCAGGCACAAACAGGTTACACTTACTTTCAAATTTATTTTCAAAGCATATTAGCGGAATGGCTTGAAGTCGTAATAGGAGAGGTTTAGGCTGGATATCAGGAAAAGGTTCCTCACCCAGAGGGTGTTTGGGCACTGGAACAGGCTCCCCAGGGCAGTGGTCACAGCACCAGCCTGGCAGAGCTCAAGAAGCGCCTGGACACCGTTCTCAGACATGGGGTGGCTCTTGGAGTGTTTCGTGCATGGCCGGGAGCTGGACTCGATGACCCTTGTGGGTCCCTTCTAGCTAAGAATACTTTATGACTCTATGAAAAGCTCTTAAAATTTTGTCGAGAATCTTTGGGTCTCTTTCAGAAGAATAAATTTAACTTTTCCCTCCAGATAAGCCCTTATCCCCGGTACTCCCGGTACCCGCTCCGTGGCCAAGACAGCTTCTCCACCTCCTTCTCTTCCTCTTCCTCCTCTTCCTCCTCTCCGTCCCCCCTCCAGCCCCCGGCCGCTGGTTCCCGAAGGGGAACCACCCCGTGGAGGATGGCCGGGGGCTGTGGAGGGGGTGTGCGTGTGGCGGGCGGGGGCGGGGGCTGGGCCGCGCCCCGCGGCGGAGGGGGAGCCCAGCGCCGGCTCCCGCCCAGCGTCCCGGGGCCGCCGCTGAGCGCCCGTCACACGGCCGCCCCATGGTGAGGGACTGAGGGACCGAGAGCGGGAGGGAGGGGGCGGAGGGAGGGAACGGGGACCAGCGGGCAGCGGGGCCGGGGCGGCTCCGCTTTCGCTTTCGCTCTCCGCGCCAGCGAGGCGAAGGGAAGGGAAGGGCCGGCCGGGGCCTGGCGGGCGCACGGTGAGCCCTGGGCTGGGCCGCTGCGGACGGGGCCGGCGGGAGCCGCAGCGCGGAGCGAGCGCCGGGTTCCGCCCGCGACTCCCGGTTCTGGGCCCTCGGCGAGCCCGCGGCGGCCGCCGCTCCCCCGGCCGGGCCCGGGCCCGTGGCAGAGCGGCGGGGCTCGTCCCGCTCCCCCGGCCCGGCCCGTTCCCGGCCCGGCGGAGGGGCCGGGTGTGCCCAGCCGGGGGTGCCCCCAGCAGCGGCTGGGCCCGAGGGCCCCCGCGGTCGGGTTGTGGGGCGCTCATTGGGACAGAATTCGTCACACCAGCTTGGATGGTCTTGTTTATTTACTGATTTGCTTACTTACTTACTTGCTTATTCTTTGCGGCATGACAAATCGTTAAGCTTAGCATTGCCCAAGCTTTTAAAACTGTAAGTCAGAACTAGTAAAAAAGAGCTAGTTTAGTCTGTTCAAAGCCTTTATATGACTTTAAGCTTGTCTTTATTTTTTATGCTTCTGCTTTCTTCACACTCGCCTTGCCTTTCTAGGGCACAGTACAGGCAGGGTAGGCCTCCGGTACTTGTTGGTCTTAAGCTGCACCAGGGGAGGTTTAGGTTGGACATCAAGGAGAATTTCTTCACAAAAAGGTTACTTAGACATTGAGAATGGGCTCTCCAGTAAGGTGGAGGAGTCACTGTCCTTGGAAGTGTTTGAGGAAAGACTGGCCGTGTCACTCAGTGCCATGGTCTAGTTGACAGGGCGATGTTGATGGAGTTGATCCCAAAGGTCTTTCCCAACCTAAGTGATTGTGTGGTTATGGGGTGAGACCAGAGGTGTAGTTCTGTTAATGCCAAGAGTTCAGTATTAGGGTTCTGATTGCAGGTTGGACTGTTGTGGCCTCTTATGGCAGGCGTCAGCCCACTGCAGACTTGCTCCACTGGTTCAGCTAAAGGTTTTCACATGTTAGTCATTAGGTATTTTCTGCCCTTCTGCAGCTGGCTTAAACATATAAATCCAAGACAAAGTGCCTGTTGTCCTGATTTCTCCGAATGCAGTCATGTGGCCTTGCCTTGCCTGGATCAAGTCTGTTGTCAGATGATCCACAAGAGCACAGATCTGCTGGGAGCCACAGCCTGAAATGTATAGCTGCTGATTCTGGGTGTTCTGTGGGAGATCCCACACGTGTGGCTGTTTATCCCACTAAGCAGTTTCATGTTACCTTGTGAACACACTGGGGATGTGACTGTGCCTTATTTCAGCCTGACAAAGTTACTTTGATTCGTTTTACAGATGAAAAAGATGTAATTTAGTCCCGAAGTGCAGTTTGGCTGTAGCCTGCCACAGGAGCGTGTTCCTCACTAACTGCAGGCCTCAGCCAAGTGAGCGATAGTGTCACTGCAATTTTAGGGCCACTCTAGGAAGTGTTTCAGGTCACCCTAAGCAGAAAGCTGTTGTATGTCCTTATATTCTAATTGATTTTATTTACAGGGGAAAACTTTTTGGCTTTTCAACCCTTATCAACAAGGCATTTATGCTGGAGGTACTTTTTCTAGTGGCAGTGGTTGTCTAGAGTGTTGTGAGCGAATTAAAATCGAATCAGTGAATTACGTTTTGTTTCCCTGGGCAAGCAGAACTCCTGAGGTTTGTTGTACTGGGTTTCAGTGGAGAACACTAGGCAGTTTAACAGAAGTTCATGAGTGTTAACATTTGAGGTGTGTTAGCAGCATTTTCTGAAATAACAAGTATATTACCATACCTGGGAAGAATTTTACTTCTGGTTGACTGCAGCTATGAGACTTGTGCTGCTATAGCCTGCTTTGGATATGTCTTTTTTATTTACATAGTTTACTGAAGGTTATTCTGCATCTCAGTCTTGATCACTTCTGGATTAGTGTTGTTTCAGTCACTGATACTCAGATCCAAGGACAGAGGCAAGTCATCTTCCTAAGAAGCTGAAGTTGAGTGCAGTGTTTTCACTTGCCTGAGGAGAGTGGTTCCTAGGTCAGACAGGGATGCTGCTCAGAGGGATCTTGATGGGATGGAGATATGGGCAGACAGAAACCTCAAAAATTCCAGCAGAGGCAATAAGAAAGCCATTCACCTAGAACAGGTTGGGAAGACTTGATGGAGAGCAGCCTTACAGAAAAGGACCACATGCTGGTGAGGGGGCTGGAGCACGTGATATTCTAGGAGAAACAGAGGTGGCTTTGTTCAACCTTAAGAGAAAGGTGAGGGACGGGGAGATCTTGCTGCTGCAGGTAAAAGCTGTAGAGCCAGGCTGCATGACAGTGGGATGAGGAGCAGTGGACACAAGCTGGTTTAGCTACAAGGAAGGTCTTTGTGGTCATGGTTTGGTTTGGTTTGGTTTGGTTTGGTTTGGTTTGGTTTGGTTTGGTTTGTTTATTTTTAGCCTGGACAATAGTCAAACATGGAAGGAAGGGTCTAGTGAGTGTGAAGTGTCCATCCATGGAGGTGTTAGAACTTGACTGGACAAGGGCCTGTGCAATGACATCTGATTTATCTTGTACTGGATGGCATGTGAAAATCCCTGCCAAACTAAACTGTCCTATTACTCCGTGATTGCTGAAAGAACAGACATTATTACTTCAGAAATGAGTTGCTAAAGTTGTGTTTAGGAGAACACAAGTCAAATAAAGTATGCAAGGTTTCCTTGAAATTGCATCAGCAACAAGCAGAAATGCATAATGTTAATTTTATTTATTTAATGTTAATATTATATTAATGTGAAAAAAGTAAGATATTGCATTGGTAATTTATGGCTTAGAATTTTTGTTCCAGAAGGTACTGTACTATTTGAGAGAAAATTAGGCAGGAGACCTGGTGAGAATGCAAGGAGTTTTTATATTTCTTTCTTAGTTTTTTCAAACTTGCTGCACAGTGGATTTTAGGCAGTAGTGTCTTTAAGAGATTGGTAGACACTGTCATGAAAGTTACTGTCTGGAAATTCCTAATGAGAAGAAAATTACTACCCAGAGCTCTGCATTGCAGCCAAATCGTCAAAATTCAGAATTCAGATCATCTACCCAAGGCACATGGCTGTTGTTTACATTAACTCTGCTTTCACAGTGCTCCAGATTGTAAGTCATCTAAACTATCAGTTTTGACTCTCATCAATCTCCAGATGTCACGAAAGGTTAAGGCCAAAGTTATGGTGACTTTAGCTTAGTCTCTGCTGTATTTCTTCTAAGACAGAACGGGCTGTGTGTTTCTGTGAGTTCATGTTGTGTTATATGTTTGAAGAGTTTGCATCAGTACTTCTTCAAGATGATTCAGTATTAAGGAAAAGTATGACATGGCTATTAAGTTTATCTTTTGGGAACGAATTTTTAATTAATTCTAGCTCATAAACTCATGGATTAGTGTATAAGCTGCCAGGAAATTAAATGTGTGTTTGAAGAGGAAGTACTGCAGTTTGGAGTATGATGCTTCTTATCTTTTGAACATTATTAAAAAAAAATCAGTTCTAGACTCAGAATGGAGTTCAACTGTGATACATGAGTACCTCTTTCAAAAGTTAGGGACTGTAGTGACCAAGGTATAATAGAATGTATTTTTTATCATCCTGCATTTAAACTGCTGTTTTTAGAATAGTGAAAAGAGTGAATAAAAAAGGTATAAAGTTCTTTTTGCAACCTGAGAAGTCTGAGGTCACACATCCACTGTGTGTTTATTAGAAGGTTGTTATTATTAAATGCCTTGGGTAGAAGAGGATTTGTAAGACCGCTTGTTAGTGTGTCTTTATAATTTGAACTGGGCATGATTTAGCAATGACTGCAAAGTCAGTTGAAATAATTTCCTTTTGAGATTCTGAAAAAAGAAAAGATTTGTCATTGAAACCTTAAAGATTGACTTCCCCTAACTTGGTCTACTCTCAGTAAACATTCAGCTTTCCACAGTTTTCAGTTTCTTTGTTGAGTGGGATAGATAAAGGAGCAGAGTCTCCTGTTAGCATTCTGTTGTTCTGAAAAATGCAGCATTGTTTTATTTGCAGCCATCTTCCTACCTATACCAGAAGTGCTTTCCCTTTCTTGCTGGGAGATGCTTCCCAGTTGGCTCCTTTGAGTTTGGAGCAGGTTTGTACGTGTGCTCCCTGCAGCCTGCACGAGAGGGCTGGGGCTGAACGCTGTTCAGTCAAAGACCCAGTGCCATCAGCTGGCGGCTGCCTTCATGTTCTCTGCCTGCAGGAATCACAAGTCTCAGAAAAACATCAACACCCTCCCTCTGCATTTTCTCACCATAGGTAGATGTGAGAAAAGTGATGTCTAATTTCTGTTGGTAATATGTTTGGCTGTGTGAAAAACAGGAATGTCTTTTAACCTGTTACGTTCTGCTGTGCCTCACCTGTACCAGGAGGATTATGCTGGGTTAATTATTTTAAATCAGTTTTGTTACTGAAAGAAGAAAATCAGGGAAAACATTCTGATACAGTAGCTGATGTACTTCAAGTACTTCCATAAAACCAAGTTAGCACGTCTGTTTACTGAACACCTGTGACAAAACTTTCTCATGTGTCTTATTTCCCTTTGTGTGCATTCAGCATAATGGAATACCTTTATGTTACTCCTGTGCTCTGTAGATAAATGCTATTACACATCTCTCTTTTAGAGAAATGAAACTCAAAAATTATGTTTTACACTATGCAGGGAGCAGAATTCAGGCTGCTTATGTACCTACTGCAGCCTGTTTATACCCCACACTAGGTGATACCTTAGTCACTGTCAGTAGGGAACATAGGCAATTTGGAGTGCAAATCTTGATTCAGGAGCTCTTAACATTTCCAGGAAACGGAATTCCAAAATTAATTTTATTCTGGTGTCTTTTCAGGACACGTTTTACAAATTTTAAGATGATTCTGAATGTGAATTGGCAAAATATGAAGTCTGATCAATCAAATCTAATTGGAAGGTTTTTTCAAACCTTTTCATGTATCATTATGCTGCAAAGCATGTTTGTCTCTGCCTTAATTACTTAGCTGTTTTTTTTTCTTGTTAGTGTTAAGTTTTATGAAAAATTATTCCCAGATCCTGCAAATAAGTAGAGATAATAGATTTAAATGCAAACATCCAGATATTAAGTATTAAAACGACTTAATTGTGGTTTTGAGGGATATGTGATCATTAGAAAGACTGATTTATCTTATTCTGATTTCTTTAAAAAGTGATTCGAGTTTATCTTTCTTATTTAATTTTTTGGGTTTTTAGGGGTTTTTACCTTGGTGAAGTTATATTGGACAGCTGTTGACTTGAAAGCTGCTTTTAGGATGTCTGAAGATGAGGAAAAAGTTAAACTCCGCCGAATCGAACCTGCAATTCAGAAATTCATTAAAGTGGCAATTCCAACAGATTTGGAAAGGTTAAGAAAACACCAAATAAATATCGAGAAGGTTAGTGTTCACGTTTTACTAATGTAGCTCTTTTTGCCATATAGAAGCTGTCGTGCTGCAAGATTATGTAGAGTTTTCAATGAGAAGTTGATGACAAAATGCTTTGATTGAAATTTGGCTAAAGATTAAAGTTCTGTATATGTAATTATGTGCACAAAGGCCTTTACATTTATGGTAAACACCAATGTTAGCAGTAGTTTGGTTGAAATATTTGTATGATAATTCGCATTTTATATCTTTTACATGCATTTCAGCCATAATAAATGTGTTACAGTACTTTCGTGAGCTGTCATGATGATTTTCTCTTCAATAGTTTTTGTAAAATTAACTTTCAGCCATGTAAACCAAAATCCCTAGAGGTAAAAGGATAATTTTATCGAATCTGATCCTGTTTATTTTACAGGCTACTTTTAAGCAAAAATCAGTAATTATGTCCAATTGCTTAGAGCAGCAACATTATTTACTTATGATGAAGCCAATATCTCTAACCTCATTTCATGAATATTGATTTAAACCTTAGGATCCAGAGATAGTCCAAACAATTAATCTCCTAAATCACTGTTTGAAGAAACTATAAAATCAATATATAATGAAATTTGACCTTGAATACACGTTTTCAGAGGAAATGGCTACCATAAATTCATCATCATTGCTTCTCAACTATATGAGAGTCCAACTTTCTGTATGACAATTTTGGAAGACTTAAAAGCTATAGCCTTAAGAAATAAGTTCTCTGTACTTTCTTTTTCTTTCCATGTTTTCCCCATGAAAATTCTTGTTTTCTAAAGCACATTCCATGGAGTGGATTGCCTTCCACTCCAAGAGGGAATAAAATGCATGTTTATCCAAAAGAGTTACAGCTGTCTATAAGTCTTTGTTAGACAACACCAATTGACTTGATAGTACAGGAAGGTGGAAATTTTGTTTGGCTTACTGCCCTAAACTTTGTTGGTGGTGTGCAACAATCCTTTAAAACAAAAAAAGTGCTGTAAGACGCCTTTTCTCTCTTGCTTTCAGTTTTAATTTAATTTCTTGTGACTGTGCTAGAAGATGTTGTGTGAAACATTTTTTACCTTTGGTGGGAACCCTTGTTGTGGTGGGAAGATGTGTCAAGGTGACACAAAACGAGAATTGAGGGTAAATGAGTCTTCGTGCAGTCTTATCTGAGTGTGGACATTTGTGTAAGACATCTATTGAAGAGCTTTTAGCAGGAGATATTATGACCAACTTTTGAGTTCTCTCCATGTCCACTGCATACTTTCAAGGAGAAATGGAAGGGATCCAAAGCAGAAGCATGAAAGTTTCTTCCTAAAGAGTGCTCTCAAGAGAATGGACACAGAGCAAGAGAGATTGAGTGTCTGAGAGTAACCTAATGTTTTATATTTTTGTTGTGGAATACAAATTATTTGGCTATACCACAATTATGATAAAATATCACAGAAATATGGAGCTACAAAGTGATTTGGGTTGGAAGAGAAGCTTTAAAGATCATCTAGTCCAATCCCCATGCCATGGGCTGGGAACACATTTCATTACATCAGGTTGCTCAAAGCTCCATCCAGCCTAGGGTTCCAGGGTTGGGGCATCCACAGCTTCTCTGGGCAACCTGTTCTGATTCCTCATCACCCCAATATAAAAAAATTCTTATGTCCATTCTCAACTTACCCTCTAAACGTTTAAAGCATTGCCCCTTATGCCGTCACTAAAGGCCTTAGTAAAAAGTCTTCATCTTTCTCCTATCCCTCTTTATTTATGGAAAGGCTGCAGTAGGGTCTCTCAAGAGCCTTCTCTTCTCCAAGCTGAACAGCCCCAACTTTCTCAGCCATTCTTCACAGGAGAGCTGTTCCAGCCCTTGGACCATTTTTGTGGCCCTCCTCTGGACCTGACATAACAGGTTAGGATTCCATAGATGTTTTTACTCCATGGACCTCCCTTAGTTTTACACACATTTGTTCAGGATAAAATCATAGAACGCTAAGGGGTAGGAATGGACCTTAGAGATCATCTAGTCCCAGCCCCCCTGCCATGGACAGGAACACCTTCCACTAGGCTCAAGGCCTTACCCAAATTGGCTTTGAACACTGCCAGGGTTGGTTGGGGCATCCACTACCACCCCAGGCAACCTATTCCAGTGTCTCACCACTCTCACAGTAAAAATTTCCTTCTTAATCTCTAACCTAAATTTCCCCTCTTGCAATTTGTACCCATTGCTCCTTGTCCTATCACTACAGCTCCTGATAATGATTCCTTCTCTGGCTACCTGGTAGGCCCCCTTCAGATACTGCAAGGTTGCAATGAGGTCTCCATGCAACCTTCTCTTCTCCAGGCTGAACAGCTTCAACTTCCATGATAAATAATGTCAATACCTTCTCTTTTCAAGCTTTACTACTATCCTCGGGGCCCCCAGGGTGAACATTGTCCAGGAGTGTGGCCTACTTTGGGTCGCATGACAAAGAGAAGTCAACAAGGAGGAATTCTCTGACCACGTGCATGTCAGTGTGCAAAGTCATTGGATCCTTTGAGCTTGTCACTAGCATATTCTGAGTAAAGGTTTCCTGAGGAATTTTTCTTAACAAGATTTTTTATGATTGGTTATTTGGACAATGTATTACAGTCAGCTGAAATCAAATAGGTGATTTTCCCCTAAACCCCTTCTGTTAAAACCTCAGAAATTCCTGTTTCAGTACTCTTTCAGGGATGACTAAACTGGAAGATCTACTGTTGATGCAGGGCTTTTCGTCCATTTTTCTTTAAAGAACACTGGCAGTAATTTTACTGGCATAGCAACTTATTCAGAGGTTGTTATTATTCATTTTCCTAGAAGAATGACATTAATCTGACTTTGTTGAACACTAAACCTTTTATCTTCCATAGCACTACAAAATCCTAACATGAAAGAACTTTTTGCTCTGAAAATAAGTAATAACTTTAGATTTCACCTTGTATTTTAGGAAACTGAGTAACTTTGTGATCCTTATTTTTGTGGCATCTAAAATTATGAAAATAATTATGTAAAGATAGAGGCTGTAGATAGGTTTTTATTGATAACTAAGCTTATTAAGAAATTGATGATTTAAACTTTACATAAAAATACCTTACAAATCATAGTAAATACTTTGCCTTATCTAAAAATTAAATAAATATTCTAATATTGTAAATTAATCAATGTGTGATATTGTAAATACATTCTTTATAGTTTCAGCACACATTCCAGGAATCACAGCTTCTACTTCTATTATTTTACTACTCTTTTTCATGTTAAATCTATATATTGTGTCAACTCCCTGTAGCAGGGACTGATTTATTTTAATTGTGAAAAGGTTGATATATGATAATATGCAGTTCTTTTGCCAAACTTGCTCTCTGCTAATGTAATAGTTCGTCTGGTCTGTCCTGTGGGAAGTACTGTACTGTGTGGATAGTTTCCCACTGAAGTTAATGGCGCCTGGTGGCGGTGCCAGATCTGGCTGATGGTTCTTGTAGCTGTGTTTGTAACTATTTAGAAATGTTCAGTGTAAATGTAGACAGCAGCATTGTGTAATGAATGCTATTTTCTTTGTCAATAGTATCAGATACCTCGTTGTCCTATATGACCAGTACTGCTTATCCATTATTCCATTCTTTACTCCTTCTTCTGCCATTTATTCTACTGTCCACCAAGGGATTTATTCCACAGCAGTGTCAGGATGCAATATCACTTGGGTGTTAAAAACTGGTGCTGAAACCCTAGTTGTCTGTAATCCACTAAAATACATTGTACAATTTTTTCACAAAACATACTGCTATTTACCTCTCTAATTTTGCAGTGGAATTGTTTATGACTTAACTTCCTTACTTTCAGTTTTGGAAAATTTAAGTGATCATTTACCAAAGGTGGTTTTTTTTCTGCATAGCCACTTGGTAAAACTAGCAATTCTAAGGAATCTTTTTCCTCTGTTTTAGTATCAGAGATGCAGGCTCTGGGACAGATTGCACGAAGAGCACATCAATGCAGGACGAACGGTTCAGGTAAGGAGATGAAAATGGCTGTGCTACTGATGGGACTGAATTACACACATAGTTCTGGTTACCTCAGGGATGGACCTTCAGAGAGACATACACTTGACAGGTGGGTTTGACAAGCAAGCACACAGTTTCCCTTTGCTTCATTTATAAGTTAGAGGTTTCCTAATTGCATCCTATGAAGCAAATACAGTCAGAAATGTTTCCATATTCTTGAAGAAAGCAAAAGTTTGGAGACTGATCTTTTGCAAACTATCCTCTTACTTTATTAAATTAGAAGACAACTCTTGCAGTAAGGGATACTGCTAATTTTAAAGCATGATTTCAGGCGTAGAGAACATCTGGACTACTAGTTTGGTGTGCACATCTGTTGTTAGGTACATGATATCATCAAGACAGGAAATACCAATGCATTTGTCAGCACAGGCATCATCTCAGTGACTTCATCCATAACTCAGCACACAGGGAATCATACACCATTTTTAAAAATACCTATGTCTTGATGACAATGATGCAGAAACTCAGACAAACATCAGCTAAATAGCACACAGACAAAGTAGGTTATCAGTACAGAAGAACACAAAGACCACGTCTGCAGCACAAAGTTTGCTGAGGCAGATACAGTATCTGGTGGCTGTAACAGCTGCACTGCCAATATTCTGGGGACAGACGTGTTGGCCAGGAGAGGCATCTTGTGTTGGTTTCATAGGTGGTGTTCAGGAGAGACCTGTCTTTGTTACTGGAAGTGACCTACACTGCACGTAGACAAGCAGGATTTGCCAGCACAGGTGGCACAGTCCTAAATCATTGCTCACAATTCTAATGCTGTGAGTTCCCATGTTTGTTTCAGTGTCTTACCTGACTCTTGTGGGAAATTAGACCAGGCTAAAAATAAAAAACCAAACAGAAACAACTCACCTTAGAAAGAAGAACTTAATCCTCATTGAACAACAGAACTAGATGGTAGGCAGAGCTGGAGTTACGTGTCTTTTTTGAGGAATAGAAGGTGCTAGTGAGCTTTTTGTTTAGTGTGGATGATATGCAGTGACACATGGAATCCAGTTGATATTCCTGCTCATTGGAGGTTTGAGTGTGTATTTTGATTTTTCACCAAGTACTTTTGAAATTCTAATACAAGTTTATTCTTCATATTCAAAGAGACATCCAAAGGTGGAAGTTCTGTTAAAACAATGTCATTTTAACAGGTGTGATGTTGTAAGCATGTGTTTGCTTATGTCTCTTCTCTAATCTGTTCTTACATCTGAGTTATGGGAAAGGCTTCTCTTGTAACTTTAAATTACCAGTATCGTTTCTTTAGCAAGACGAAAATCTGTCAATAATTAGAGAGAAAATAATTGTGTTGAAAATGTTATTTTTAGATATTTTAAGTGCTTTAATAAGAAAACTGCTTATTTGCCTCTAGAAACATTTATATTTGTCTTGAATCTAAAGCTTGCTGTTTTCGCTTTCAGTCAAAGTAAATTTTCTTGGGTTTTATTTAATGCTTATTGCTTCTAGCTCTGGATACAGATCTAGATGTATTAAAGTGGTTCACATTCTGATACCCAGAGAGCAGAATAAGTATCCGGGTCCATGCAAGAAGAGCAGACTGGCTCTTTGTTTTAATTAAATAGTTAGGAGTCTGGAGTACTTGATAATACATTATATGACATGTAGAATGTGTTTGCTGTAAGCTGTTTAAATGTTTACCGATGGACTTGTGATCTGTTTGTTTGCAAAGAAATCAGATTAATTATTGTGATACCAAATGTTCTCTGCAGCACACACTTTGCTCTCAAAATTAGATGTTGTAAAAATACATTAGGAATCCCTAAGTCAATATTGACCCAAGGCATCCGCCACAGGTTTTAGACAAATATATGCACAGCCATTCTACATTTAATCCATGTGCACATAATTAGCCATTTTTCTGAATTTTCAGTTTACCCAGAATAATTACTTCTGTTGTAATTTTGATGATGGTCAAAATTAGAATAGAAGTATAGATGAGCGTAAATCTGTTGCTCTGCTTTCAAGTGACTGTGTGCCACATCAGAAACTTCTATAAAGGAAAGCGAATAAAACAGATAAATCTTTGCACAGGGCATAAATGGACCATTTAAAAAATATTGAGAAAATAGCTCTTGAATATCACGTATTAGTTTTTCTGAATGTGGTCTTGTATATTTTCATTTTTAGGGACAGTCCATGGATGTTATTCCTGAATGAATTTGCAGTTTTCTAGGCTTTGTGTGCATTCATACTGACTGTACCACACAATTATTTAATTATTGCAAGGTTTAAGCTAATTTCAATGAAATGGCAGTATTTTGTTGTAACATCTAAGGACTGCCCTGATCATTTTGGTGGTGAGGGGAAGGGAAATGCTTCAGTTACTAGAGAGGAAATAAGATATAAAACCAAAAATAAAAGAAGAATGCAGTGGATGAACAATCTGGCTTTAGTCTGTATTCAGCCCACAAAAAGAGACTCTGTTCTGCAAAACATATTTGGGCTGACATAGCCTCTCCACTATATTATTCTGAACTGGAAAGCTGCTTGAAAAATGTTAGTCTATTTTTTCTTTCTCACTTCTATGGTTTCTAGCTCAGCTGAAAATTATTTACAAGTCAAAGGTGGTTTCTGATGAGCTCTTTTTTGCATAAATCTTCAAAGCTTTGTTGTAAGGCTCAGGTCTTCTGTAACATGGCCCTCAAATTAGCTACCTCTCTGGCACACTGTGTAGATATGCTGTGAGGGCATGAGGAGTAGTGTAGAAAACTTTATTTCTGCAGGAGATTCTTTGTGATATCAGTGAAGGATCGTGTAAAATCAGTTCTTTATTGCAGCCTGTGGCCATCTGCAGGGTAAAGATATCCTTAAACTCAGAGTTCCTTTGACTTAGGCCAAGAATTTTGTAAGACTTGAGGGACATGGAGTAGAAGGGAACTGATTGTGGGGTAGTGGTCCAAAAAAGCCAGATAGTTTAGTGGGATATATTAACAGGAGAGCAGTCAGTGTGGTCTCTCTTACAATCTCTTCAGTCAGCAGTAGTAAGATTCCAGGTAGAATAGTCTGTCCAGTTTGGGCACCACACTTCTAAGGAAGGCATGAAGAGAAGAGGGAGACACGAGTGAATGCAGGCAGAAATTGAGAAAACAAGACTTCCTGTAAAGATCAACAAATTAGTTATTTGCCCAAAGAGCACCCAACAGCATCATGCTGTCTGTCTGCAAACGTGGAGAGGATGGTTGCAAAGAGGACAGGGCTTGTCTTTCCCTGTTTTGAACAAAGAGGATTAGAAATACCTGGTTTAAACTGAGGCCACAGAGATTTGGTAGACATAAGGAAATCCTATAGCATTCTGAATTCTGCATAGCATTCTGAATTCTGGCAGTGAGGTATAAAGGGGGTTGTAGCTCTTCATGAAGAAGTCCTTTTAAGACCAGATGAGATAAATAACTGACAGAAATAATGTAAGGACAGCGGATCCTTCATTGAAGAGATAACTTCCCAAGGTTTTCACCAGTTCTATTTTCCTACAGTTTTCGTGAGAAAGCCACTTGAAACAAAGATTGTTGTTTGATTTTGGAAGTTAATGGACCAAAACTGCAATTATTATAAAGAAAAATTCTTTGTCTTTTGGATTGAATTTGCAGAATTCGAAACTCAGGAGTTCCCACAAATGACAAGAAAATCCTTGCTAAGGAAGTTGGGATGAGAGTGATACACTTTTATGCTCTACCTAGAAGTTAAACTCAGTGCCATTAAAATTATTATGAGAAGAAGTCCCAGTCATTTACATATCCATAACATTTATGATGTTACACCCTGGTGAGCTTCTGGGATGTGACTCCTCACAGCAGGGCTGAACTTTCTTGCTAGGCTGCATCCATTCACATTCTGTTTAATTGACAGTAAGTAGAACATGAATCCCCTCTTCAAAACCACAAAGGAAGAGCTACTAAAATTAAATTTCACTAAATAGGCAAATATCATCATCTGATTCCTCCATTTTCTTGCTCAGAAATATTTCTCTTTGATTAGCAAGGTAAGAATGAGCAGTGGAAATGTGGATCTGGTTTAGCCATTCCTTCGGGTGAGCATTCTTGAAGCTTCTGTTCAGGATTTGTGCAAACTTCCATCAGCCAGCTGTGTTGTGTTGGTCACTGCACAAACTTGTAATTTGCCCCAGCAGCAGCCACGATGGTACAGATCCCAAGCAGAACTATGTTTTAACTCAATTTCAACTGCAAAAGTCTCCTTTTTCTTCAAAAAAGCTGTTGTGGAACCGTTGTTATCTCACCCCAAACTCACTGTTGCCACTGTTTCAGTAGTTTTTGTTACACGTTTTGGTTTTTTGGGGGGTTGGTTTGTTTGTTTGTTTGGGGTTTTTTTGGTCTCCGTTGTTGCCAAAGACAGTAACAATTTTCTTTACTGAAATAAAACAGCATGATCAACCTCTGTCCCTTGCATATAGTTCTAAGAAATTAGATGATTGAGTGTTGTGTTTAGATAGTTCCATTTTGTTTCTTAAATTAAATTCCAGGATTCTATAAACCAAGAATTTTGGCATGTGTGCAGCATGAAAATGGTGATATTCTCCATTTTCAGTACTTAGGGGCAGGCCATGGGGGGAAGATACCAGGAAGCAGGAGGCAGACTGAGAAATGTATGAGGAAAGTTACTAGCTGCCATGTTTCTAATTTAGCTCAGTGTCTTCCAGAGTTGGGGTTTTCTTGTATCTCCCTTTTTTAAAAATTGTCAATCAGTGGTTTTACCTGGGGTTAGTCTTTAATAATTCACCCTAATTTTGCTAATAACACTCTTAATTTAAGCATACGATCTAATCTAATCTTATTTTAGTAATTTGACACAATTTTAACGAAACAATAGTTCTTTCTTTGGAAGCTTGTGCAATGTTACTTCAACATGTTGAATAATTTCCTTCCTTCTTCTCTAATTATATTTTCTACTATTTTTTAATAAATATGAAAAGCAATTAATTCCACTAGTGTATATAAATAAAATTAGTTCCATCTAGATCTTGTTTTTCCAGATAGTCAGTTTTACCTTTCTAAGGCATTACCTCTATCTGGTTTGTATTCTGGAAGAAAGCCTTTCTGTTTCTAACTACTCATTGGTGTCAATTCATTCTCTTATTCTGTTGTGAGAAGAATATTCAAAACAATTGGTAAATAATGTGGCAAAGAAGAATAGAATTAAATTTAAAGTATCACTGTAAAGTAATGCAGAGAATATATTTTTATTACAGATTTTAAAAAAATTAAATTAGATAAAAACTCTGTCCTAAAACAATAAGTGGTGTAATTTAAACTGTAAATTTCTTCCTTTCATTTATAGGAAGAGAAAATTTGCGTGCATTTTTAAAGCCCAGGCAATAAAAAACCCTTTATTTTTAATGCAGAAAGAAATTTATGTCATGGGAAATGTCTGCACATACACTTTTCTTGTTAGTTGTGAACAGTTTATATCTTCTCAGAAGTCTTGTAAGTAAAGAAGTATTTGTATGTTTTATTAAAATTGATATCCCAATCAAACAAATATTTGTCTTTCATCTGAAAAGAAAAATTAAAAGAAAAAAGTAATCCTTGTCCTTTGTCCGTGAAGTTGTCTTCACAAAACAAAAATGAAAGTTTTGGGGGAGTTGGGGTTATAAATGACTGTATCCTGTGATAACCACAGTCACTTATTATATTTTAAAAAGCAAATTTTGAGAAGCAGTCACTTACTTTACTTGGATTTTATTGCAACTTGTGCAAATATTTTGGCAAAAACCTAAATTGACCAGAGAAACAGAAATAACTCCAGCAATTACACAGTGAAATAGTTAATTATTACACAGAATAATTGATTAAATACTTTAATTGAAACCCAAAAAAAAAAAAAAAATAAACTGACTTGGAGAAGTGGATAAAGTACAAAATTGACTGCCAGAAAAATCAAAACAGTGGTGGTGATGGCTTCAAAAATGTTTCTCCCTTGATCATAAAGATGATAGATGCTTCCCAGGCACTGAAGCTGTCTGGTGTTCTCACACACCACTAAGATACAAAATAACTCTTAATATTGTTGCAGCAACTCCGTGCCAATATGAGAGAGATGGAAAAGCTCTGTTTGCGAGTCCGGCAGGAAGATATCCCAGTTCTGTGGAGAATGATAAATCCCATTAAAGAGGAAGCTTCAACTGCTGTTAAAGACTTCCTGCAGCTGCATTCTGAATCTGCAGAAGAACTTAAAAGGCAACTGAAAGAACAGGAGGATGCCTCTTTAACCAGATCTGCAACTCTCGGTCAAGGTAGTAGAATTTAATTTCTGGATTTATTGTATCTTTGTTGTTGTATCCAGTATGCAGTTTCTCTGACCACATATAAATGAAATAAACAAACGGGATTTCAGTTGAAGAGTATTGTTAATGAAGTAGATTTCTTTCCCTACACCACACTTTGTCCTGCTCTGTGACTGAATTTTGATAGGCAGAAAATGCTTAAGTATCTTAAAAAATTAAATATCTATGGCCTTCCATGAGAAAGATCCTGTAGCCTTGGATCCTGAAATAGTGGACTTCATAAGAAGCAGAATACTTACATTCACGTTTCAAGATAGCTTGGCTTCTTTTCCCCTGCCCTGCAAATCCTTGATCATGTGCAAATAATAATTTTGGCCATTTTCATTGAATTAATGAAGATATGCCAAGAAGACTTTTATATGACAGTGAAATACAGTATTGCTAAAATATATGGAAAAGAGGAGCAAGTCTCTAGGTAAAGGAGAAAATCTCTTCCTGTAGCATTTTAACCTGGTAACTGACAAGAAAGAAGAAAAGAGTATAAATCTATTTAAATAAAAGATTTGGAAAACACACTGTGACGTGCTAGAAATCAGATACGTTTGCTGCTCTTTTTTCCTTTCTGTATAAAATGTCTTTCAATCTTTGTTCTACCATTCTATCTTCAGGAGAAGTCTCTATTATGCCCTTGTGCTGGCTAGTGATCTGTCCTGATGATCTGTGAGAAGGTTGGTTACATCAGGATTAAACCCTTCCACAGATCTGTAATTAGTTTGATTGCTGCAGTAGCAGTATTACTTTAAATGATTTCATGTGTCTTAAAATCGAAAGAGCATTCTTAGTCAGTAGCACTGTAGAAGAACCTGCTGTCGGATTGGATATCACGACCCTTCTTGTTGCTGCATGCAGAACTACAAGAACTCCTTCAAGTGTGATTAACAAGCCAGTGAGCCTCGTGGTTGAGCAGGGAGAAAAGGAGGTTTGACAACTGGGCTTGCTTTCAAGAATGTAAGGTGAGAAAAACCTTGTGAACATGAAGATAAATCAAACACAGTCATACAGCTGTTTGGGTTAGAAGGGACCCTTTGACAATCATCTAGATCCAAGCTTCCTGCCACAGACGGGAATACTTCCAACAGACCAGGCTGCTCAGAGCCCCGTCCAACCTGGCCTTGAACTCCTCCAGTGATGGGGGCATCCACAGCTTCTCTGGGAAGCCTGTGCCACCCTCGCCACCCTCACCACCCTTATTGTAAAAGACTCTCTTCTTAAAAGGCTTCTGACATAAAAATCTCTACCTCTTCAACACCTTCAACATGTTGTAGTTGGTGGTTCAGTAGTTTGTTCTAATATTTGTGAATTTTGTAGTCTCTTCTCTTGTAGTCCTCTGGGACCTCCTTATTCAAGTTCTCAAAAATAGGCTTGAAATTTCAGAGGCCGTTTCTTAAAAATGCTCTAGAGTGAATTTCATCAAACCTTCAGCCCCTAAATAAGTTTAGCTCATCTAAATATTTTTAACCTGTTCTCTTTATGTTTCAGCCTATCTCTCTCTTTCTTTCTTAAATTAATTGCAGTAAATACATGCTTAAAGCTACCTTTTTATCTTACAATGCATTTCCATGTCCTTCGTCTTACTCTTAACTTCAGAACATTCACAGAAACTTCCCTGCACCATTTATGCCTCTTGGTAGTTGCAATGTATTTATGTCCTGGTCTTCCTGATATTAACTTTCTGTGCTTATGTTTTTCTTTATACTCATATTGTGGGTCAAATTCTTGGCATCCAGGGCATTGAAGAGCTCTTGCTGAAGCATGAACATCTTCTTCTGCATCAGGACAATTTGATGTCATCTTCAGCACAGCCTGTTTTTTAGTGTCTGCCAGCCATTCTGCAGTCCTTTATCTTTTAGGAACTTCTTTCACATAATTTCTGTTAATCATTTTACCCAATTTTGTGAACATCTCTTTTGTGGAGAGCTCATTGTCTTCAATATTCAGTGATTCCCTTCATATATATTAGCCATTACTTTCAGTCTTCTTTGTGAGCTCTTCTCTGTTATGATCAGAAATAAATTTAGGATACCTCTTCTGTTTGTGACTTTCTGCAGTTATTCTCAGTACATTCCAATATTTCATTGGAAAGGCTTTGACCTGGCTTACTGCTTCTCTTTTTTATACAATTACATAGGTGGCAAATGGGAACTAGAGTTTAATTTCAAAGAATAGGACTGCTTCTGAAATCTGGAATACCTTTGAAGTACAAAGGACATTGAGAATAACAGCACTTCAGAAGGCCAAATAAATTGATTAGAAAGATAGGGATGAGAAGAACAGAAAAAATATTACTGGAATGACAGGCAAGTCTGCTCAGGAATGTGGAAATAATTCACCCCATTTAAAGTAAAACAGACAGGCAGACAACTAAATACAATTAAACAGGGTTTTTTTAAGTTTGCCTGCCTGTGCAAGCAGCCCTGTTGAATTGCTAACCCAGACACAGTATATTGCCTGTTCTTTTGTGCTTAGAGGCTGCAGTTCTGACAGCAAATCTTGGCTGTTGATCTTAATCAAAGGAGGTTCAATACGTGCCTGTTCTTTGTAGCATGTTGCTTCCCATCTGGTAGAGAAGGAAGGAGTTTACAAATTCAAATCTCCCATTTAGAAGGCATGTCAGTGATATGATACAGCTCCTTCCCCCATTCACATCTGCAATTGAGGGCCAATAGAAATGGAATTTAATTGCATATTAAACAAATATTAGCAAAAGGTGAGACTCTACTCTTAAAATTACTAAAATCTTTTAAGCAACATATTGAATCCTCCAGAGCATTAGATTTTTATCTTGAGTGTAATGACGTGTAAAGCTCCTCTGTGAAATCTGCAGAGGTGTTCTGTATTATTGTATTTCTGTGGAGATGCTGTATAAATGAACTGGTGGAGTCACTTTCATTCTCAATTCTATTAAAATTGGTTAGACTTGATAAAAAGTGAAGTAGTGAATATAAATTTCTTCCTCAAACTTTCAGCCCAAATGTGACCACCTCTTACCCTTCTTGTTCTTTATCTGAAGTGAATAAAGAATTTTCATGAGGAATTTTTTCTCACTTATTTTTAGTTATTACAAAATGATAACATGTAAGCTCTATTACAGTTTTAATTTCTCTGGAATATGTGTCATGCAAAACTTTGGTATCATTTACACACTTTCAAGGATATGCTTTTCTATAGTAGGAACAGACCAGAGCAAGGTCTTGGGAGGAGACAGTTTTGCTTAGTTAATTTTTTATTTTGCTTTTGAATTATGAATACTTTCATTTTAACCAATTTAACATGCATGTGGCATGTGACTGGGGAAGAGTACACTTTTCTGGGCAGAAGAAATTTGATTTTTAAATAGGATTGTGTAGGATTGAAATGAAATAAAATCCTCAAAATCTGTGATAAATGTCAGAGTATGTGGCAGAAGAGTTTTCTCCAAAAATGCACGCATTTGGATATGTAATTAATTATATTGAAAAGGGGAAAGGAATATTTTAGAACTGAGTATACAACCTTAATTAATTTGAGGTTATTAATCAAAAATATGTTCTGGAAGAACAGGTGATGATTGTAGAACATGAAGTGCCTTCCGTGTCTGGATTCTTAAAGAAAAAGGGGTAGAAATAATTAGGAAGAAAAAGAAGCCTAAATTAAGCCCCCAAATTGCTTAGTGCATTCTTGTTACTCTGCTTACTTAGCAATTATGTCTAAATATCAACTTCACTCATATTAGATTTCTACTTAGCTGAGAGTAGGAAGACTGGTCCTTAATCTGCTATGAGATATTGGGATAAAAATGTTGAGAAATGGACAAGTATTATGAAAATGTATCATTTTTATTTTATCTTAAATTAATTCCATGAATAAGCATGCACTATTACTGATTCTTTTATAAATATGATTATATTCATTTGTTTTCCATTGGTCATATCTGTTGTTGTAACAGTTATATAATATTATTATCGTACCTTGGCACAATCATTGTATCTAAAGATTTTAATACAATATTTACACTTTAGTATTGTTAGACATACCTAACCAGCCTTCCCCATAATAAGCTTTCTCTTGGGACTGCCATCCCAAGGAAGAAAATACCAGTGTCCTACTGAAGGAGCCATCTCCCTTCAGAAATTGAAGTCGTTTGCATTGAGATGATCTTTGCACTGTGCTTACATAGACACCTTCTCCAGTCTGCCTTTCAGATTCCCAAGCTCTTCCTCAGTCCTTGTATTGACAAGCCAAACTTGTTTGTTAATTTTCTTTATTGCCACTCTATTTGTTGTCCACAATTACTGGCATGTCTGTGACATCCACAGCGGGCTCTCACTGGAGGAGGGGTGTGTGTGCCTGTTCGTTGTTTCTGCTCTCCCCAGTGCCACCTCACTGTCTGTCATTCCCTGTTTTTAACACCATACATTGTCCTAAAGTCTTCTGCATTCAGTCCAGGTGATTTAGGGAGGCACATACTTGAGAGTATCTCCTGTACGGCACTAAGCTGCAAATATCTGCCATCCTCAGTACCATTTACCCAACTGATACAGCATGGAATGCTGGGCACCACTTGACTTGGGTTTCACTGCTTTTGCTTTGAAAGCTTTTTCCTCCAGTTTCTTTTAGCTCCCAATGGCTGAAAATCAAACCACTAGCATGATAATCAATCATAAAATGAATAACTGTCTGTTCAGTTTTGGGAGCACAGCATTTTTATGTGTTGTAGGTAAATGAAAAGTTTTTGTCCCAAGCTCAGTTTTCTCAGCCTGGTCGATACAAAAAGAATTCAATGACCTTGAATGCAGGAGTATAATTTAGTATCATTTCAGGACTGGTTGTGAAAATGTGATAATAGAAATGAATCTATTTCTTCGTCAAGAACATCCTTTTAAGAAACTGTGTAGTGCTGTAAGGCTTATCCCTGTATGATCATTTTGGGGCTGTTTCTTGGCTTGAATTAGGTTAAGTATTGGGTTACCCTTGAGAGACTTCAAGAGTGAGAAAGTCTGCACAACACCTGCATCCTGATTCAGTGCATTTATTTATAAACATCATGTTTCTCATTCAGAAACTTTACATAACACGGAAGTGAAGGATGGCTCCCAAAGTTTGATCCAGATCTACTCCCAACTTCCAGAAATACCTCAGGAAGAAAATGCAGCTGAGTCCTGGGAAAGTTTAGAAGGGGTATGTTGGAACTCCCTCCCTGCCATGTTGGCGCTCTTGGTTTTAGCAACTATCATAGAATAACATTTGTTTTTTATTTGCAGGACTTGATTGAGCTCAGCCAGTTGGTGACTGAGTTTTCTCTCTTAGTCTGTGTAAGTATTAATTCTGCATTCTGTCCTACAATCCCCTACAAAAATAGGGTGAATGGATAACTCCTAGGTGAGGACAAAAATAAAAGCTGAGGACGTGTCTCTCCTGTGATTCAGGCTCTGCCAAGGCGACACTTTGAGGAGGCAGCAGTCTCCTCTTTCAGCACTAGTGCTGGGAGCTGCTCCCAAGTTCTTGTCACTGGAGCAGCTACAACATTCCAGCCAGAGCACGTGGCCACGAGCTGAACCTTAGCAGAAGCTCTGCAGTGTTGATTGCAGACTTCTACCCAGGTCCTGATCGTTTTTACAATTTCTAATTGTAATAGTGGTGACGGCTTTTACTGCACAGGGTGTGTGTTTGTCAGGTCCCTTTTCTCAATCAGGAGTGCTAGAATAATCCTTTATTACCTTTATCATGACCTTTCTCTGCTCTCACCACATCGCCAAAATGTTGGTTCCCAATGTTTAGTTCTCTCATGCCACAGGGAATTTAAATGCACAGTACTCATCTCCTAGGAGGGTTCTTTAAACTCCTTGCTACTGGATTAGTAGGAATAAATAAACTAGCTTTTATCTTTTCTGCTGAGTATGTGCTGCTTCATCTATACAAAAAAACTCTTAAGTAAGAACCATTAGACTAGAGGGGGACTGCAAAAATGCTCATTCAGTATTCTAAAGGTTAAAGGAAGACGTCCTGTTTCCAGGACTTCCTGGATTTTGCACTTAACCATCATTAGATGCAGTAGGTGGGTGGACTGCATTGTAGATGAATACCAGAGCTGGTGTACTCAGCAGTTTCTGAATTAGAAAGAGGCAAAAAGTTCAGAATGCCTTTTATTTTAAGCTGAACATCAGCCATCTCATTATTTTGTGACATAAAACAGCCTGCGTACTGCTGAGATTAGAATAAGGACAAACCCACAGACCCCTTTATCTTCTGCTCCAGTGTTCCCTGGGAGAGACTGCAGGGAAACCTGACTGACTGCATTTGGAGAAAGGATGGAATGTTGTTGTAAAATCAAACAGTAAAATACTAAGCAACATCAAGTATATTTTCAGTGCTGTCACTACTTCTGAAGTCGTTGTTCTGTAATGTCGTAATTATACACTTCTTAGATTTCTTGATGCAGCTTTGTATGTTGGAGTTAGTACTGATCTTATAAATGCCCTTTACAGAATTTTTTTTTGAACGTGAGACTCAGCAGGAAATAAAACAGGCTAATTTGGATTATTTTTCCTTTTGGAATGTGAATGAAAAGATTTAGAAATCATTTGTTTTGAGTTGTTTTCTCTAACTGCAGCAAGACATTGTCTAATATCCACTCCATATTATTACTTAATAGTTTAGATTTTTTTAAAGTAAGTCTGTAGTTTCAGCAGAGTTTATCAGATGCTAATCATGGAGCATCACTAAGGCTGCCGGGTGCAGATGAAAGCTGCTGTGGGGCCCTGATTACAGGCATTAAAATGGTGTGTATTGGCTCACTGCTGCTTCCCAGCAGGTTCCCTCACTCATAATTCCTTTGCATCTAGTCCCAGCAGGAGAAGATTGACAGGATTGAAGACCATGTCAACAGTGCTGCTGCGAATGTTGAAGAGGGAACCAAAAACTTGGGGAAGGTAGGGATCTGCTCCTGCTGGTGAATCAATGGTGCTCTGCCTCCCAGCCACCCTCTGTATTAACCCCATTGATCTGCCGTCTTTAATGCTGAGGGAACCAGCAATTAAGGAAATAAGGAAGAAATGACCCACAGGTAGCAGGGAAAAAAAATCAATCTCTCTTGTAATTTTCTGTCGCATCCAGGCTGCTAGAAAATACAGTTATTTAATTTTGGGGGGCCTTTTTAAACACTGTTCTGATGGTTACTTTGGTTTATCTGCAAAGACAAGTGCAGTCAGTGACTGGCTCACAAGAATCACATAAACATTAAACAAGAGGCTGATGATAACCTGTCATTTCCATCCTGTTCCATGTCACTTGCTAAATAAACCCCAAAGCTAGAGTCAGGCCCATCACTGAAAAGTCTGAACGTTTTCTGTTTCTGATTTAACGATGTTGACCAGGTAGCATCCAGTATATACAGCAGCCAGAAGTATGTGAAAAGACCTGGTTCACAACCGCATACACAAGTCAGCTTATTTTGAATTGGTTTTAGCATGTTCTGTCATACTTTTTTAAAATGCTAATTTGTAAAGTTTATTTATCACTGAGCATTCAAGTCATTGCCAAGAGCAGTGAGGGGAAAATGCACATCGCCACAGGCAAGTATTCTAACTATTTTTTTTTTCCTTTACAGGCTGCAAAATACAAGCTGGCAGCTCTGCCTGTGGCAGGTGCAGTCATTGGTGGAGTGGTGGGGGGTCCTATTGGTCTCCTTGCAGGCTTCAAAGTAGCAGGAGTTGCAGCTGCACTTGGTGGTGGGATTTTGGGCTTCACAGGTGGAAAATTGATACAAAGAAAAAAGCAAAAAATGATTGAGCAGGTCTCTTCCAGCTGTCCAGAGCTTTCTCACCAAAGTGCCAAAAAATCCAGCTGAAGTATAGATTCATTATGGCCAGGAACAACAGTGTAGCAGCTGAACTAATGACAGACTTGCAGCCTTATGCTTTATATACAAGGCTGAGTTGTGTGAATTTTGATGACAGTTCTGTTCCTTGGGAGGGCTGAAACAGTCATGTCGGAATTTCTCTTTTCAGACATGGTGACATCAGTCCTTTGAAAATTATATGGAAACTTTTAATTACATAATTCTTAGGTAAGCTATATTCACAGCTGTAATAATGGGTGACAGGTGCTTCATGCCAAATTTGCACAAAGTTTTTTCCAGACAATGCAAAGAGATACTTGGAAAATCCTAGTGCTTTCCCATGAATGCCATGAGAAGCTGGAGCTTTTATTGTTGTGCTCCAAAGAAAAGGAAATAAATGGCATCATTCTTTCACACTTATAGTATTCTAAATTTAATTTATGTGGATTCCCAAACTCTTCTTGTGATTCCCCAGGATATGACTGACTGTGCCTATTTAATAATGCACGGGGAAGCATGTGCCGTTGTAAGAAAAGATGAGAATGTTGGGTGAGCAAAGTGGAAAAAAGTTACGTCTATATCACATCTGCCTCTATCAGCCATATCAGACGAGCACTGGAAGCAGCCTCTCCCCCTTCCAGGCAAGGCAGTTAATTTGTAAACTCCTCACCTTGCTCAAAGTGTAGTTCTGAATTCAGCAGTCTAAGCAGCAACCCTGCAGCACTGCTACTGGATGGTAATCATTTTCCATAGATGTTCAGCTCCTCGGCTTGTCCTGAGAACACCGTACAGGATGAAAAGCCAAGCTCTGGCATTCTGAACTTGAAGCCTCACATTGCTGAAGCAGCACTTACTGCAAGATGTTGCCTTTGCTTCTCCTGGAGCCCAGAGCGCCCTAGTGGGAGAGCTGAACAACTTCCCTGGAAGGCCATGCTGGAGTCAGGCCCACTCCCTCCACAGGCTCTTGTCCCTCAGGGGTGGTGTGAGGCCCCAGGTTAGCCAGAGAAGCAGAGGCGCCATTTCATGCTGGCAGTCCCAGAGATGGGGACAGGCTTGGAAATCTCAACCTGATAGAGCTTACAGCATAAACCACCCTTGCTTGGGCAGCTGCACTCTTGCATTACTCTCCCGTGCCAAACCTTCTGCTTCCACCCACACTGCAGTGTAGCTGCTCAGCCTCTTCAAGATTTTGGGACATGCTGGAGCCTGTATGGGATGCTGGCAGTGCTTTTGCTTGCTCTTTATAGTGGACACCTGTTATCTTATCCTCCTTAAGAAGCCTTTTGCTTCTGGAACTTCCATTGTTAAATGCAAAAGTGTTAACGTGTCAAGTAATTAATTGTTTAGGTAATTGTCAAATAATTGTACAATTGTCACATAATTTACTGTTACTGGTCCTGATGCCTTGAGGAGCTGGAACAGAGGCCTCCACCCTTTCAGGACACTTCCCACACTACTGCTGCTACTGTTTGGGGGAACAGAAATTGAGGTTGGGAAGCGGCTTTTTGAAGTTTTTAGATTGGTCTATTCATCCTGAGCTCTGCTTGAGTTGTTTTCTTAGGTGCAGTGAAGTCAGTATTGAGATAAGGCTCCCTAGAAGGGAACACGGTTCAGGGAAGTGTACTAAAGAAAGAGCTCCCTTTCAATAACCAGTACTTTGATATCATCACTGGAAATCACTGTCTGCAAATGACAGATGATGGGGTTTTGTGCCTATAGACATTGTAAGCAACTGTTAGTTACAGCACAAATAACTTCTTCTAAGCAGTGCTTCCTTAATACTTTTAAAATACTGAAATTGCTACCAGCCAGAGCATTATGTCTATTTTAAGTAGGTCTGAGATTCAGGGAAACAATGTGTGCAAAAATAGTTTTCACAAGTAATTGCAGACATTGTCAAAAATGCATGTGTTGAAACCTCGGTGCCTGCACTGGTAAAATCAGCTGGAGTGCAAAGCATAACCTGGGTAATTCAGCTCATTTGCTCCTGACAGGCAACAAGTCTTTTCCTTTCAATGCATCTACTTGGGAGGTAAACATAGTTAATGAAATTGTAACAATTTCATAGTAAGGCTGTCCATTCGATATTTATTTTCTACATTTAAAGGAAGACACTAAGAAAAAAAGTGTTCTTAATCAGAAACTGGTTGATCCTTTGTATGATTTTCAAATGCACTCTCTGCTTTCCTGCTGTATGCTGTGAAACCTCATGCATTTAAATGACAACAGTCACATCTGCGATGTTGTGGACTCCATCCTCTTCCCCCCAAGCTGGAATAATGCCAGGACAATCTAAATTCATAAGACTGAATTCCTGCCCCAGCTTATACAAATTCAGCTTGGCGTGCACTCATTTTATGAAATGTCTACGACAAAAACTATTCTTCCCCCTTGCATCCTTGTGGAAGCAATTTGAAATCATTGTGTACACACTAGATGTGGGAGACTGTTATTTAAGCTATGATATTTTAAAATAGGTGGGTTATTTACATATGTGAAGAAACATCAGCATGTGAGTAACCAAACTAGCAATTAAATTGCTAGGCATGTTACTCAGAAGAATTTTAAGATATAAATAATTCTTTCAAACCAAATAAAAGTTTTTGCCTACAAGACTGGTTGGAGCATTTACTGAGAACACCAGGGTTTATTTCCTTTTAGCATCTAAAAGATTAATTCCCCCCCAAATTTTATATTAGTAAAATAATTGCACTACCATGATATAAGAATCCTGTAATGAGTTCCCAAACACATACTTCAGCCATCAAAAATATTTACATTGACTGAAATGAATACAAGTTCCTGAAATGTCACAGGCATCCAGTAATTCGTACACACACAGTAGCTCAGAAACGGACTCAAGTTCAATGGAAAGATAACACTAATATTTTTGACAACTTCTCCTGGAAAAGCAGTGAGAAGTGTTAAAGGGAGTGGGAAGCTGAGCACCAAATTGTTAAAACCACAGATGCAGATGATCAGAGTGGAAGGGCTCAACGTGAAACACAGCTTGGATTTTGACAAGCACTTGGCTCTCTCGACACCAATTGTCAGTATCACCAGGTAAAAGCACAAGTGCCCTTCAATAGCAGAATGGGCAAGCCCAGCTCAGCTTTAGCTGTTCAACGTCCTGCCTGCAAAGAGAAGAGGCACTCGAGTACTGATGCAGCCGGGTCGGTGCAAGAACCCAGGAGAGTAAGGTCCAACTCCAGTGAATACACACCAAAATTACTTGAGCATGAAACTCTCATAAAACTGTTACATCTACTGCCAGCCTAGTGCTAGAATGCCAAAGCTATGAGAGCAAGTCCTGACCCTCAGAAGTAAACCTGGATTAAGGAATAGCAGAAGTGGTTTATCTTTTTCACTTTCTGGCTGAAAGCACCAGCCACCCAACTGCTGTGTGAATGATGATCATCTCTTTTAGAAAGAGAAGTTTAGACATCTTCCACCCAACAGCAATTGTAAATCCCATTCCTCCAAGAATCCCAAGGAAAAACAGGAACCTCAGAGGAGCAAGATAAGTACTTGGAGGTATCATGTAAGAATTGACTAAAATTTCAGGTGCTAGAACTCCTCCAAAAGTTGTGTAACACAGCCTGCAGATAACAAGTGTCAGCCTTAAAACCACACCCTGCTCACATCTTTTAATTCCAGCTGGAAGGCAGTATGACTCAACTGTCAACAATGCTTGATTTGTGATGAGATGGAGAATGGGACAGGAGAAGACCTGGCTTTCAAGCATTTTATGTGCACTCCAAAATGCAGATTCACAAAACGCAACAAAGAAGTATAGCTGTAAATAAAGCTTTGCAATACCGTTTTAGCTCCCAGCTCTGCAGCTGCTTAGTCACCTATAGCTTAGTGTAGTACCAGCAACTCTGTCCTCAGAAATGCTCCCTAGAAATCAGCTGTGCCTGGTGCTGCAGGGGCTTGAGTCAGGAGCCCATCATGGGATCAACTTTTGCCACAGCTGCACGGGACCATGTGACTCCTCTGTCAGTAACTGAGCCAGTGGCATCGAGCTGAGAGGCAGAACAGTCCTGAGCAGTGACTGCACAGGTTGGGGCGCTTTCCTAACTAAACCCAAACCCAGTGTTCCCTCTGTCCAGAGAACAAACTTGCTTCCAAGAACACTGAATCCTGGGGCCCAAGTCACAGACCTACAGTCTGTGCAGTAAGTGCACTGTACAGATCCTGTACTGTTTCATCTCCAGCAATGCAGCACAAATAACAGGTACTCTGCCATCTCAGTTTCTCTATGTTCACCTCACCATCAGCTTGAAGGTTCATTGAGAAAAGCCTGTAACAGAAAGCCCACAAGGAAAGTGGTCATTCCTTCTTCAGAGCAGAATTCAAAGACTACACAATAAGGCACAAGCCAGGCAAAGAGAGTAACAGAAAATGTGCAATGGTTCTTTGAACAGTGTCTGCCAGGAAAGCAGGAACTCAGAAGGAAAAAGACCTAAAATACCCAGAGACTAATGGTAACATACATACAGATATAAATTTAAGACTGACAAACTCAGATGCCAGTCTAGTCCTAGTCCTCTCTGATTTTGAAAGGTTTTTAACATTCCTGTCCTTTTACCACAACCACGTGGGCAGCCTAACAGTCTTAGTTCCAGGAAACTGGAGCAGGTCAGTACAGCCCCTTCATTCAAAATACAGCCATTATCATCAGAACTTTTCCTCTCCTCTCTTGGTATTTTAATATTCAGGATTGTTTAATTGCTTAGACATTTAAAGCCAGTAAAGCACCACACAAGATTCTGTAAAACTTTAATTTATTCCCCTCCCAAGTATCCAGAATAGAAGACCCTCTTAAGTTGGAGAAAAATGTGACAAAGAAATAGATTACCAGGATAGCTGTTCACAGAAGAAGAAAAAGCACATACTACCAAGGTTACACAGAAAACAACCCAAAAGTCCTATTTAATGGGATAGTGCAAGTTAACAGCATGTCTCTGGCAAGGATACCTTCATTTGGATTATAAAAGTTTTACAGAGTTAGATCAAGAGTCTGGATGGGTCTCTGATATTTTACTATAGCATTAAGAATGTACTGTTTGAAAGATGCTGTACAGAATGACCCACCAAACAAATGTATTTACAAGCCTGGGGAGAAAAAAATTATTTTTCAGTTTATTCAAAATAAAAATACACATAGAATTATGAAAATATAGGTTTACTATTTCCACCACACAGAAGTCAATGCTGCTGTCTGAAAGGCTTGCAAGATTATTTCAAGTTTTTTAAAGTTCATCTTTTTCCCTCAATAAGGTGTACCTATGTTCACTGGGTGCCAGTTTCTGGAATGAGCTCTCTGGTGGACTGCTTGCTAAATCCTGAATTGGCTGAAAAACAGAACAAACAGTAAAATAGTTTATTAGACTAATAATAATTCATCTCCATTAAATGAATTTCTAGCATTATGAGAGTGCACAAATGTCCTGCATTCTCACAAATTGAGTTTGAGGCTTTTTTTTGGAAGGTGTGTTCCAAGTCCTAAGTAGGTGGAACACAGACACACACAAATTAATAAAGCAACTCCAGTTAAGGAGATTCCTTTTGTTGTAACATCACACGGGCAACGGCCATCACATGAGTTTCTGTACAAGTCACACAGAAGTATTTCAAATGTACCCTACTGTGTATTTGCATCAATCTACTGCTTGCTTTGGGGGTATTCTAGTTTTATGTGTGTGTGTTTTATGAGATATACCAGGGCAAAAGTGACATCACTGCAAAATTTTAGAATTACTTCTCCATGGAAACTTAAAAGAAAACACCCCATATAAAAATACATGCAATTCAAGGGGCAGAGGTGACCCACGACAACAACCTCCAGTTTAGTTAAGGCCAGTATTTATTTCCATTGCATCCACATCTTCCACAAGATGGCAGGATGCCATACAGAGATGGGAATGTAAACATCCCAGGTTTTGTGTTCATTTTTCAAGGCAGAAACGAGGCAAGAGCAACCCTGCAGCTCTGGGTCCTGTGCCTGTGCCCAGACAGGCAGGCAGCAGGATCCAGAGACTCCACAGACTTCTCTTCCCCTGGCCAAGCCACCTCCTCAGGGCAAGTGCCTGGCCCATGCCTCAGTCTCTAGCACTTATTCCTGCCCCTCCTCCTGATGACCTGAATTCTGGTTGCTCAATGAATTTCTGAGAAACACAGGGAACTAGAGTCAAATGAATTACTGCTGAGATAATTTAGCCCACGTGTTTTCACAGCCAGTCATGACAACATTCAAAAGCAGTCATTCTCCTGGCCAAGGCAAACCCTCCAGGGCTTTCACACTTTTACATCTTTTGAGCAAGGCAACTGGAGGCTGCACTCAATCGACTTACAGCACTACTATCCTTACCACATCCCACAGATGAGCAAGAAAAGGATCCTGTAGCTATAAATAGTTTCTGTCTCTCAGCCATGGAATGGCCCAAGGCTCGCCAACACAAGGGCACCAGGGCTCCTCTGGGACCAGAACAGCCCATTGAGCTCTGGACAACACAATGTATACTTTGAAAGAAGTGTTTAAAAATGGTTATTTCTTTGGAGGGTGCCCAAGTTAGCAAAAATGTTCTCTGACAGTTAAATTTGCACTTTTCAGTGGACCCCAACCATGTGAGCTGAGTGGAGTATCAAGAAGATACAAGACTGGGATGAGCAGAGGGAGTTTGGGCTGGTCATGTCCTTTCTTTTCTGACACTGAGGCGCTTCTGACTTTTGTCTGGAGAAGGATCTAGTAGTTGTGTTCCTGAAGAGATCCCAGAAGTGACTTCCAGGCATGTAATTACACAACATGACAAGCTTTGAGCAGAACCATGAGGAAATCAAACTGACAAGTGCAGCCTGTGAGCACTGCTAATGCTGTTTGTCAACTGCATTAATAAAAGCAGTAAGGCCTATAACTGCTTACCCATCCTTTCTTGATGCTCTAATAATTTGCCTCCTGCTTGCATTGGTAAATATATAAAACATTAAATCAATTGTTGTTTTCCCTTAGAAGCACCCTCTAGTAGTGTGCTGTGTGGGAAATAATGCAGCTATGATGGATTATCAGCTTTTGCATGGAATCACAGGAGAACCTAAGAGCAGCTCTATGAAATCAGAACAGTCATCCAGCCCAAGACCTCCTGTTTCAGTGTAGAAAAATATTCTTATATTCTTCCCTTATTCAAGACCAATAGGTATCATGCTGCCACTAATACCCCCTCTGCCTTCACCCAAAGAAGGTTGAGGAGCCAAGCAAAAGTGGTAATGTTATGCTTCTGTTAACAGATTTTCTCTTTCAAAAGACAGAAGTTAAAGGTACAAATACACTAGAAGATACAGCTCTGACAATCAGTAATAAAAGGGTCTTTACTAAATGGCCAAATGAAATGCATTTGTTGTAACCTTACCTGACCAGGTGCTACATCAGTTGGATCAGGGCCATGATGAAACTCTCTATGCAATTTTCCAGAATGCAAGTCTAGTACAAATTGCTTCAGTTTACCTGGAACTCTGGAACAAATTCAACAGAAACACCCACATGTTTATTACAAGTTAAGTCCAAACACAGGAGATATAAAGTGCACTGCTTAGAGTAGCCAACTTCTGTTTATCTAGCACACTATGCCTACTTTTAGGTGATTAATAGAGGACAGGGAGCCACATGGTTTGCTAAGGTATCCCACCAGCTTCTTTTTCTTTCCACTGTCTCTTGAGAACACAGCAAGTATTTCATCTTTTCAATAACTCCCACAGAGCTGTACCAGCCAATAACTTCATTGTGAACTCCCTTCAGCTCCCCACTAACTGTAATGTAAGAGGGAACAGCAGGTTCCAAATGCACAGTTTACAGATACAAATGACACTTGGGGAGCACTATTGACAAAACATCTTTGAAAGGCTCTCTACTGCCTCAGCAACTGCACATACACCACAGATGAACACTAAGAGGATATCAATGTAAATCTAATCTGAGATCATCTACTGTCACCCACAGCAAATGTGCTTAACTACAGCACCCAGTTCTATTTGTGAAATGTCAAGTTGACTAAAAATCTCAAAGTGAAGAGTTAATCTAGTAAGTATTAAAGATGAGAGAAAAACTATAGTGTGAGCACTGTGCATGAAATCTAAAGGTAACGTGTAATGGACACAGGTTTTGCAGGGAGTCTTTCATCAAACTAATTATTACATAGGAAAGAGGAAGAAAGTGTGGTCAGACAAACTATCAGCAATATTTAAGATCATCAGAAAACTCTATGGGTAAAATGCAGTAAATATTGATTCAGAGGATATCATTACAGCAATGTCTGTAACCAATCACTATTACACTGGTACTTTAAGGACCTCTTCCCATCTCAGATGAGATAATGAATTTGAACCAATGGAGAAAAGGGGTTCATTCCAGTCTGGTTATACAGACAGCAGACTTACTGCTTCCTGCTTTTCCTCAGGCTCCTGCCCTGTTCTAGGTCAGGCACATTGCTGGAGACGTTCTCCTCTCATAATGCAGCAAGGGCACTTGGTGCCTGCAGCCTCGTGTAGCTCAGCCTGTTCTTGCTGAGAAGATATAACCCATGTGTTGGGACACTCCCTGCCTATCATTTCCAGCCTGGAACAGCAGGATGAATAGGGCCAGGTGGCCAACGGATGAGTATAAAATAGTGATGGTCTCATTTGCCTGGCAAGTGCCTATTCTCCAAAAAGACAATGAAGTCCCTAAAGAGAGAGGAAATCTTTTAGTGGACCAGCTCTGAAAGTGCCATATCCAAACCCTGTTGGCTGGTGGCAGCACTGGGGTTACAAGAGACAGCTTGGGGCTGTTTATAAGAGTCCAGAAGGTTACCTGAAGTGGTAGATGAAAGTCTCAGAATTAACATTTTGCTTTTTATTAAAATTAAAACCGCCATACAAAACCACCAAAGAAACAACACGAATGACCAACCAAACATCCAAACCATATATGCACATATATTCCCAGGAGCTCCAAGCTCTTCTTGTTCCTAAACTGTGCTTTGCTATTTCTATGTATCAGCTCAGCCTCCTAGAGTAAGGTTGAATAATTATTTATCATTAGGCAACTGTCTACAATCTTGACATCTCTCTTTCAGCTTCATTTGTAAGTGACAACTGGTACACATCAAGCAAGTAGCTCTCATTATTCTGACAGCGTTTCACAGAAACTCAACATTTAAGAAACATATCAAAACCCAAACTAAACATCTCTACTACCTCTATAGGAGACGTTAACTTGTTTTAGGGCTGTTTAAAAAGTGACAATAAAAAGAGTGGTTTATAAAATGCAAGTATCCTGCTATTTTTTTTTGCTAGGGTGTGCAGTGAATACAACCTTCCAAAGAAACAGAAACACAGAGAGAAAAAGTCACTTTTCAAGAATTTCAACATACATAGCTTCAGATATTTGAAAAGCACTATCCAAGACACATCAACAGAGAGAGCATTTTATAGATAAGCCTGTGGAGAATTACAGAAAGAAGCTAAGTTTGAACTCTCCTCCCAGTTGTCAGTGTCTCAGGTAGAAAAATGTCTCCTGGAACAGCAGAATGATATTACATTCACATTGCATGCTAAAACTGAGCTTTGAATCCTTGGTTTCAAGAAAAACTAAATACCCAGCCTAGACATCTAACCAGGAGTTAGCAGGCAGTGTACGTGCAGCTGCCTCCTTTGAGACAGAAACAAGTTTAACACCCAACCAGAAGACAAAGACAGAGCGCTTGTCTCAGACTGAAAGCCCCGGAAGAGAACATTTACACATCTTCATTCCTTCACTGATCCATGCAAGACAGAACATCTGCTTCCAAGGCAGCCACCATAAAGAGTCAGGCTGAGGTAATGAGGGTTACCACAGCAGTATTTCACCTCAGCACCCTGGTACTTTGCTGTCACATATTTTGCCCAGACAAACATGCCAGTGACTGGCCATTTTCCAAGTTGCACATGGAAGATTTCACAAACCCACACAACCATTTCTTTGCCAGCTTTCCAGGTGTAGACTAATGCAGGAAGGTTAGAATTGCACGGCAGGAAAAACCAAACCAGCAGGCTGAAAATTATTACATGCTGCTTTTTACAGCAATCTCTGAATAACACAGTACTTTATATTCCATGTAGTATTTTCAATCTTTTCAAGTTGAGATATCTAGATCACTACTAAAAACACCATGCTAGGCTCCAAATGCCTAACCATGATAGAAAATAGCAAAACTGAGAAAGAAAATAAGACCAGCAATCTAAAAACTTCATACGAGATTCTTTTCTTGCATAAAGTAATACAACTCCATTTAAACAATGACTTCACACCACCTCATCCTGCTTTAAGGCTCTGACAGTAAATCACACAGAGGCAGCCTTACCTATCTCAGATTTACTCATCTTCCTACCACAGTACTGATTAAAATACAAGCCTTTTCATTTATTCTTCTCAAATTAAAATGCACCAAGAAAAATACTTACGACAAGTCACTGAAGTCTGGAAAGACATACATGTGCCTGAAGCTATCAATGGCAATGACAGGACAATCTGCTGGAGTCTTCTGAATGTGGAGGAGTGGATGCCTGAATTTGTCACAGTCAGCATGGAGGAAGTTTATTGTACCTTAACATTATAAGCAGACAAAAAACTCATGTTAGGATTTTTTTATTATTATCATCTTGAAACCCTAAGTATTACAAAGGTGGAGATACTAGACAGATCGGCAATATGCAAAACCTGAAAATAGGTCTAAATAAACACCTCCACCAAAATAACAGATTTTCTTAAAAGTGGGTTTTTTTCCCCATATTACAAACTGAAGCTTTGTTTAATGCCCTTTTGTGCTGGTTGCACCTGGAGGAGGGCAGAGTCAGAGAGGTTTTTCTCTATGAGCACTTCCTCTGTGAGCTGATGGGACCACTTGGAGGTTGGCTGAGTTATTGACAGCCTGAGACACCAATTAGAGAAGTTAGTTCACACCGTGAAAACACATTTTGAAGGAGGTGACGCAGTACAAAAGCTCTCTTTTGCTTCCGGTGGCTGAGCAGGTAACACGGGCCCGGGCTCCCTCCCGTGGGGAGGGGCTCAGAGGCCGCTTGGGCCCCGTTTGCAAACCAGGGGACCCGATGGCCGGGGGGGATGAAAGGCTCATTGATAAAATTTTAGCCCGGCTTCCTTGCCCGTGGGCCCGCGGCTCTGGGGGAATGGCCCCGCTCCTGCTGCTGCCTCGGAGCAGCTTTGGAGGGGCCGAGCCCGCCCAGCCCCAGCACGGCCTGGGGGAGGCAGCCGGGCCTGTCTGGAAGCAGGGGTGGCCATGGGCAGGGTGGGGCTAAAGCTGAGCCCCAGAAAGGCTCAATGAGATCGCAGCCGCCCCTCAGCCAGCACGGCCTGGGCCTGGCCCAGCCTCTGCAACTTCTGTGTGAAACTTTAACTCTTTTAGTGCTCGGATAAGACTTACAGACCTCCGATCTTCCTTTGAATGAGAGGGAAAAAACAGAAGAGATACAAAGTCAGTGAAGCAAGAGCTAAGTTTTTTTTTAGTTGGAAGGAGAATGAGGAGATGCTATGAAGATGGCTGAAAATCCTTTTGTGAGCTGTAGAGTGGACTGTATTGAACTGAAAATTCCTATAGACTGTGGAGAAATATATGGGGGGTTGGATGTTCCATTTGATAGATCATTTGACCAAAAGCACCTGTGCTGAGAATCTTTTGCCCCGAGGAAGGAAGGGGATCTTGGTTTTCTGAGGATGCGGCATGAACAGAGAGAGAGATGAAGAGAACTTCTGATTTGGAACAGTTCATTCTTAAAAGTAATACCCTGTGAGTTCCACATGGCCCACAAGCACAGCTCTGGGAAGGCTGTGAAAGTTGGGAGGAGTGCCACGATTGCAGGTTCCTGGGTGGCTGCTACTCGTGAAAGTGAAGTCAAAAGAAAACTGTTTATTTCCCCTCTGGGTAAAGAGATCCCTATAGCCTAAATGCAGAACCTCCTCTCCCTGAAGTGAACTGATTAAGATTATTTAAGTGGGAAACTGACTGAAGTGTCTTTGTATGTTGTTGTTACGAAGGAATGGGAGGAGGGAGTGGTCTGAAGATCTTATTCTGAATTTACTATTTTCTTTTTCTTTGTGTAGTTAAATAAAGTTTTTTATACCCTTTTAAGTTTTAGGCCTGCCTTGTTTTTGCTCCTGGTTCTGTCTCAAAACAGAAAATGAGTATATTTAAATTGGCAAATCAAAACTATAACATTATTGGTGCATTGGCCAGGAAATTCAAATTAAACCAAGACACCTCTCAAAATACATTAAATCATTTAGACAAGAAGGATTTCTGAAAGTTACTTACTAATAAATTGTGCATCTATTTTAATAATTTCCAGAGATAATGGTCCTCACTGTCAAAAATGCATGAAGCCCTTCAGTCTCAAGAGCTTGAAAACTACAATTCTGTTTGGCCTTTACTTCCACTCCACTGAGTTGCCTGGAAAAAATTATACCAGTAAAACCAAGTAGTGGGAATTATTACAAACCTTTTTCTCCTATTAACTGCCGTGCAACCTCCTGCTGGAATTTCTCTAAACTCTCCAAGTCATCTTTCATGTGGAAAAGTATCAGAAAAGGAAGGCCTTCTTCTGTCAGTTCCTGCACAGAAAACAAAGGACAAACTCATTTCTTCTGTTTCTTAAGGGCACTAAATTAAGTGATTCCAACAATTTTCAAATTCAGTGAGATCTCTACGCAAGACTAAAGATGTTAACTGCTGACCCTTCTTCTAAGATACCCGAGTGCTATAGTTAACCATGTTTCCTTCCTCTTATCCTATACAGCAGATAAAGGATGAGAACAAGTCATTACCAGCATTCTGAGAAGGGATACACTTTTACTGGAATACTTGTGCAAAAGAAATAACCCTATTCGGAGGAAACACAGCAGCTCCAGAGAAACTACAATAAGGTCTGAGCACCATGGTATTAAATGCTACAAAAGGCTGAGGGTGTATTCTAGAATTCAGTTCTAGCTTATCCACATAGTAAATGGGTGCTTTCTTAGCATAAGACAAGTGTCTTTGAATAACTCTATCCCCTCCTCAGCAAAAAAGAGAAAAGCAGAAGCTAATGACACAGCCAGAGCAGTTATGATCAAGTACTGCTTTCCTGACAGTAACTGTGTCCTGACTGGTCATTCTTTGTTGGACAGGCAAACTTTAGTTCCTCATATGAATGCTTTCTTGCAGCCCAATGCCTTTTAAAGATCTCTGCCCACAGACAGATAAATACAGGATTGCCTTGAATAATTTATTCAGGATTTTTCTTTTACTCAAACACAAACAACATGCACTTGCTTGCTCCAAAAGTGTTTTTTGTCAGCTCAACTCATTACAGCCTGATTGAAAAAAAATACCTACAGTTGTCTATCTTTCATTTGCACAACTGTTATAACAAGCAAGTGCTACTATTGCTTTGAGATTCTAGCCTACATCAGCATAAAAACTGTGCTTTTTGGTAAAGATAGTAGTGGCTTGTTCTGTTATCAAATAGAAGCATTTCTTCAGATATCTTCAATTTTCAGTAAGTTGAAGGAAAGACTTTCCCTATCAGTAGGCAGCCAGTTACACAGGGTACATGAAATGGCTCTTGTTCTCCCTTCAACCAAGAGCATCAGGTAAGCTGAAGCATGGTCTTTCAAACAGAAGACTGCAGAGATCCTCATAACTTCACTGCTCTTGAAATCCAAGCTTCCCAATCCATCCCTAAAACAATTTTCTCATTTTTACACACAAATTCAGCTGGGTGTCAGCCTCTTCTCCTACTACAGGATAGGAAAAAAATCTGTCCCACTACAATTATGGCTCCTTTTCCCCACTCACTTCAGTAGGTACATTTCCAGAGGGAGAACTCCTAAATAGAGCTTGGTATTCTGGCTCTAAGGTCTTCTCTTGCTTGCAAGCAGCTAAAATGACAACCCTCAGCAAGTTACATTCACAAGATCAATTCATCTCCAAACAGGCTGTAAGAACAGCTGATGTGAACATTGCTAATTTTAGCCCTTCTACAAGGGCTAAAATTCTTCTTTGTTTCCTGTGCTATTCCAGCTTTCATATCATGTCTCACTGATCAGGCAGGACAAGTGGAAGCTCCCTCAAAAGCTACTGTGTTGTTTGGCACTAAGAAAATCAAAAGCCTTTCCATTCTATCTCAGCTTCCCATATCATTTCTGGGCACCTTTGAGAAACTTCTTACTGGTTCAAAACCTCACAGTTCAGCACCACCGTTAGACCACACAGGTTCACTGCATTCATTTGACACACAACTCGAGCCTGATTACTGGTTAAACAGGGGTTTCTTCTGAATGGTATCCTGATCCCAACAGCCTTTGCTGGTCAAGCACAGGAACTGTCTCGCACGGGCAGTCTCATCAAGCATCAGACCCTGCTTCAGAGCTCAATTACTGTGTAGTTCAAGTGTATTCTAGTGCCAGCAATACAGCCTAGCAGTCACAGCACTTCATATTTTTATCCTGCAATATTGTGCAGTATGCACAATAAGAGCCCATTTAAATAACTGTACAATCTCAGCATACAGAAATATCTCGATTTTGGCATGTTTAAATGTGTTTGGGTACCAGCAGCACTGAAATTTTTAAACAAACTTTGCCAGGCAAAATGTCACATTGCATTTTTAACTGTCTGCCTAAGCAAATAGGAATTAAGGGTTAAGGGAACAACCAGAGAAACCACAACAGAATGAGGTACAAACTAACAGTGATGAACCTTGGCTTCCAAGGCTCAGAATCCTGTTTCACCATGGGAAAAGTACACTGAAAAATCTACCATACACTTCTAAAGATGTTAACATGTGGCATGTTTTATATACTGAGGTGCACATGAAGAGTTAAGATTTGTTAACTATCAGAACTTTCTAATAAAAGCTGTCAGGATTGACTAAAAAAAAAAAAACAATCAATAAAAATGGCTTAAGTAAAACCACCCTGTCCCTCCCTCTGCCATGAAACTTTAAGTGCTGCATGTGCCCAGAACAGCAGATTCAGGATAAAAAGATTTTAGTGTGCAAACTGTGAATGAATCACGACAGTCTCTGGTTTCTCATCCAGTATGGACAATGTACTGTTATTTGTGACAAACCTTGGCAGATTTTCTAACAGATTCTGTACCTATGTACAAATCTCCTTTTGAGATGCTACAAACTTGATAGTTTTCTAAGGACTTTTTTCCTGTTATTTATTTTACGAAGAACAAAATAAATTATGGAGTTGGAAATGGACGAAAGAAAACTAAGTTACAAAAGGAAACAAAAAAGCCTTGAAAGAAATAATGAGAAGAAAAGAGATGTTTAAAAACAAACTCCCAAATTCCACCCGACAAATTGCAGCCAAAAGAAAAGGGAAATGGGAAACAATACATGAAACTAAAAAGATTAAGGTGCCAGTGCTTTAACAGAAATTGAAAATGAAAATTCCACAGAGTTTTCATTACCATTCCCAGAAGATTCCATGGTCAGCCACCACTTAATATGTTTATTTATTAGATAATGCTTTGGAAGTGGTTAATACAGTAATATTTTTCTACCATTCACATTAATATCAGTGGGAGGGAGCTGGGGGTGTTTAGTCTGGAGAAAAGGAGGCTCAAGGGGGACCTTACTGCTCTCTACAACTGCCTGAGAGTGCAGCCAGGTGGGGGTCAGCCTCTTCTTCCAGGTAACAAGACACAGGAGAAGAGCAAGTGACCTCAAGTTTCACCAGGATAGGCTTAGATTGGATATTGGGAAGAACTTATTCACTGAAAGGGTTGTGAAGCATGGGAACAGGCTGCTCAGGGAAGTGGTAGAATCACCAGCCCTGCAAGTGCTCAAAAAACATGTGGATGTGGGACCTGAGGACAAGGTTTAGTGTTGAGCACAGTGGTGCTGGGTTAACTGCTGGACTCTATGCTCTTAGAGGTCTTTCTCAACCTTCACAGTTCTGTAATTGTAACTTCTTACTTTGGTAGTGTATGAAACTACTACACATCTGCCTCCAGTGAATTGCAAGAGTAACCAAAAAGCTCCTAAAGAATGAAAAGCCATTTTCTGCCTAAAACAAAACACACAAAGTTCTTTGATGTGGATTAGGGATCTTGAAAGAGACATTTTGGTTTTAAGAAAGAAACCCCAGATGTAGAATAGTAGAAAACGTCTTACCTCCCCATTTTCAAATGTGATTTCTCGAACTAGTGGTACACATTTATCTTGTGTCCATGCATAAATCAAATCAAAATTGGTTAGTGAGCCCAAATACACCATATCTGGAGCATTTTCCTGTTGAAAAGAAAAATACAATAGGATGAGAAACAGTAAAAATGACATTGCTGCCTACAAAGATTACCTACTCAACATAAGATAATAATATTCATATAAATATTGAAAACAAATCTTATAACCAGTATTCAACCTTGTGCATGCAAGATTTCTATTAACTATATGATAAAAGTACAAATGGAAAATAAGTATTATATATGATAATTTATGCAGTCAACTCCATTTTATAAGAATTTATAAACAATGGGAGATACTTGGTTTCCAAATTAGGGATCCTTAAGTAAGGGCTAGCTAGATTTCTGCTTTCTGCTAGGCTGAGAAATAATATCTCCAGACCTAAACTAAATGCAGACAGTGAGCTGCTTCATGCTGATAGTTACAAAGACTCATCAAAACCTCCTCAATGTCCTACAGGACTTGAAACTGGTATTTTACATTTGCTTTGCCAAAGAGATATGAATAAATAATAATTTTTCTTTATTTGCTAGTAGTTTTAACTTGTAATTCAGTACTAGCAGTCTTTAATTTAATTACAATTTTGGTTAATATGAAATGAAGCATGACTTCGCAAGCTGTGACCACGATTAACCACACCTTAATTCAGAAATGCCATATAAATTAGGTAACTTAATACGTTCTGTTGTTGGAAAAAAATAAAAATGCTTTGAAACTCCCTTCCCCCTCAAGTCTATCTGCATCTATTTCCTCTTTTGTAAGCAGCTCTTTTCATACAGTACATTTCAGAAAGGAGCAGATTTTTAGATTGTATGTCTCTACATAGCAATTCTTGCAGATTTTCTTCCATACTGAATATTTTTTTCCAGTAAAACTATGTTTATGAGAGTTTGTTAACCTGTAGGTAATTTTATTAATTTTTTTTTTCTTTTAATTAACAGAAGAACTCAACCTTTGTGGACTAAGGCATACAAGACAGTTAATAGTCAGAAAAATACACAGTAATTGCCACTTGCTTTGAAAAACATGAAGCGTACCAGCTTCACAGATTTTAAAGAGTTCTGCAGAACACACAGATCTATACACATGATATGTTGACTGTGTTTCTCAGAAAAAAAAAAAAAGATTAATTTTTAGGACATTAATATTTCAAATAATAGGTTTAGGTTCTGTGAATTAACTGTTAAAATGTGAGACTGAACTTTTTCCCTAACTCAGAAACACTAATTTCTATGATCCTATTCTTCACACTATTTTAGCGATGAAATAAAACTAAGATCTGAGACGCAGTAACATACTAAATGATCTGAGACGCAGTAACATACTAAATGATCTGAATACAGTCTCCATTTATTTACATATAATCACAACAATCAAAATAAAATACATAGTTACACTTACCCCTGGTGGCTTGTAGATTACATTGTCTCCGCTAAATCTCTCTGCTTTTGAAATAGCCCTACAACAAACCAATCAGTAAGCATGTCTTGGTACAGACAAATAAAATAACTGAGATACCAAAAATCATATTTTAATTTTCTATCCTTTCCTTGCTTCTTTTTTTTGTCCCTTCACAATTTGAGAATTAAAATCCTTCCCCTTTAAAGTAAACTGTAGAGTGACTCCATAGAAACTTTGTCTGCCTGGATAAGAGGGCATTAAGAAACAGCAAGATGCACCCTTAAGATCAGAAGTCTGAACTGAAGGCATCAAAGTGACAAGTGATAAATGCCAGGACAATTTTAGGTAAAGACCATAAGAGAATTAAAAAAAAAAACATTGAAGAAATAAAGAGAAAGGTGGATTCATTTACTCTCCCTGTTCCACAGTTTACACTAAGAATTTACATCGCCTCTACCCTTACAGAGAAGGGCTTTATAGGCACAAGCAATGAGAAAACAGATGGCAAGTGACCCCCCACTGTCCATTTTACCCTCAGAACACATCTGGAGAGAAGACACAGCATGCAGTTTCTAGCCACTGATGATAGGTGTGTACCTCTAAGACATACAGTTCCTACTTGGTATTCACCTTACTACCTCACCTTGGTAAGTTCCTCTCTTGCCTTTAGAATATTTTACCCCCAATCACAGCAAAGTGCCCTGAAAGCTGCTAGTTTGTACCCCAAAATTATCATCTCTTATTCATGCAAGTTGGAACAGCTGTGCATTCAATGGAGGAGACAGCAAAGAAAGAGAAGTCAAATTATCTGAATTTATCACACTGCAAAATGAGCTAATATTCCAGGAGTCTGAACAATTTTGAGTGCCAAGAAAAATACAGACATCATAAGGCTTAGCTCAAAGTACCTATGTTTTCTTTTGATCCAATTATCCTTTTCTTTTCACATACAAAAGGTGCCTTGCAGAGTTGTTACAACACCAATATTTGCATCAGTTTAGAGATGTGTATTTTAAAACGCATTTTTGTATTCCCAACATGACTCTCCCCATAATGTGAAATGAGGCTTCCTAGTGATAATCATCACTGAGGTAAATCACTTGCATCCCAAATAAGCCTTCATAAAATAAGGAAGTGAAGCCATAGAGGCCACCTGCCCAACTACTGCTTGCTAAGCTGATGATAATCTATAATGAAATATATGCTCTAGGGTAACCCTGTGGTAGAACCCAAAATATCCTCTTCTGTGTTCTTCCACTCCAGTAGCTGCAGCTATGACTGATTTTTTTTTTTTTTTTCAGATAACTCAAATAAAGCAGGGACATGATGTGAAAATCCCAAATGCCTGAAGATACACCTTTTTAAAACAACTACTAAAATGGAAACGTTCCAGTTGGGGTTTTGTCTTTTTTTGAAGCAGTAATGTACAAGGTGAATCTCTGAAAAGCACACAAGCCCCCCACCCTCCCCTGACATATTTACTTGCTAATGTAAAATTAAAACAGTTCCTAGATTTATCACTTTCTTGCATGTTACTTACATTCTACTTACAGTTCATCATAGCCTTTTTAGATAAAAGTATTTTTGGCTTTTTTTTCCCCCTATTCAACATTCTCTTCCATGTTCACAAACATTACAGATTCATTCCTCTCTACTTCTAAAATCTACTTCTAGCAATCTCTTCATCAGATTCTTCACCTATCTCCTCTTGCTTACAAGTCTTCTTTCAATAATCTTGTTCTGTGGTCACTTCAGATCTTAATAGAACTGTAAGGACCAGTTGATTTAAGAATAGTTTTAAGCATGAAAATCATCTGCAACTGAGTACTATTAACAGAGTTTTTAAGTAAGGTATTACAACTACCTAAAGCCAGAATAATTTTGGCATAATGGGAGAGTTCTGCCTTGACAGAAGTTAGTCAAGTAACTATTTTTCTCCTGTCAAATTGATTATTTTATTTTAGCTTAAAGGAAAGTTGAACATGACCACTCAGGTAACCTCCCCAAACCATGTAGCTGTTTGGACCATGAACTCTGTCCATAGCAAAACCAAAAGTCCTTTCCAGAGGCTGCTAGGATGCTCAGTCAGAAGAGTTCAATGCCAGCTCCCCATGGAGAATTTTGCTATGTATAATCTGAATAAAAAACACTGATCTGTAGCCAGCATCTCCCTTGGAAGTCTTTTCACATACAATTTTTTAGGAAGCTGAAGAGCCCCAGCTACTGAGATGAAAACATTTAGTTCCCAAGGTTGCTGTTGGGAAGGCTGCACTTTAAAACACTAACAGCTCCAGGCTAGAAAGGGAATGGGTGTCTGGAGATAAGAATAATGATAAACCTGTGTGCAATCTGTATTTACAGGGGCAGGTTATGAATAATCAAACTCTGATCCATTCCACTATGTCTGCTTATTGCTAATATCTGAACAAAAAGTAAAAATAAACCCCCTATAGTACCTACTTCAAGAACAGTGCCCAAAAACCAAGCGCTAACAGAGTGGTGGGAAACTACTTCTCATTATATGCAATTGACAAACAGCAAACCAAAGATGAACAGACTCAAAATGCAGGAGAGTGAATGCCAAAAGTAGTGCTATCTTACTAATATTTTTTTAAGTTATTTCTGAAAGACTGGGAAGTTGAATGAGGGGCAAAAATTAATTAAAAATTCTAATAGAAGCTCAGACTGGCTGTGCTAAGAACAAGGACGGATGCACCCATCAGCAAACACTTGAGATAATGGCACTCACTGGGGATAAGACTGACAGACCACAGATTTACAAGTCATGGCCAGGGCTGCTTACACAGTCACAGCCTTATCTAACTGAGGACTGAAGGAAGAGAAAACCACTCCTGCACATTGCAACTCCTGCACTCTCTCCCACCCCCAAACTATTTTTAGAGACATATTGGAAGATGCATCAGTGACTGACAACAGGTTTTGTTTGAACAGATGAAACATTTTCTACCTTGATACATCCTCTCAGTTTCTCTGCTATTCTCCACTACATCCAATTAAAAGAACTCCTGAGGCAACTCTGTGCAGCATAAAATCTAGCATAACCCACACAAATTCCTGATTTTGCAACTGTGGGTAGACTGGAAGCCACTACAATCACATTAATGCCCAATCACTTCAAATTGGGCAGCGCTGGCACATTAAACACTGCAGAATGAATCTAGATTTTTATTTTATTATGCTACTTAAAAAGGGAATCACTCTCAGTCTATTCTTCTGCTGAATATTTTGAAATATCACTGTAAATCTGTACAAGGAGAAATGTGAATTCCTGTAGGTTTTTCTTCTAGGCTTAAACTGTGTAGCTCACCAATGCAATTTTCTTTCTAAGTCTTACACTGTGCAGTGACATAAAACTTGCATGACAAAGGCCTAGGAATAGAAATTAGGTATTTTGGAACAAAGTCTGCTCCCCTAACACCAAGAGGAAATGAGTAAGCAACTACATTCCTTACAGAGGGAAAAAAAAAAAAAGGAAATAATGAAAAAAACCCTCTCCCTCTAATAATGCAGGTTTTTGGGGGGGACACAAATGTCTACCATTCCTCCCACCCAAAGCTCCTCAGGTACATTTAAACTATACTGACAAAGAATGGTAAAAAAAGAAAAAGAAAGTAAAAAATACAAGATGAATTTCACAGCAAACATTAAGGCTAGGAAGAATTTTGTACTTCTATCCCCTCAGTGTATTTTTCTATTAAGGTTTAGTCTCTTCAGTTATGCCACACTGAAAATAATAAAGAAGTCTATTTAATTAAATTATATAGACCTCATTAACAGAATTTCAATAATAAAGTCACAAAATCAAGAATTTTCAAACTTACCCAAAGGCAGAGAGGAACACACAATCATCATGCAAAATATTCGCTACTCTTTCAAAGGTTCTGTAATTATCAGAGTCCTTTTGCTCAAAGTACCCAATAATATTTCTTCTGCTGCGCTGTAAAAACAAAGGTTGAATTATAACTTGCATCAAATTATCAAAAACTGTCATTACTCCTTACAGATATCAAATACAGAGATGCCATTCATTCAACAGTCAGATGCAGAAATTATTTCTTTTTTGCTTTTTCAATATTCAGAGGAATCCTTCTGAGTATTTTTTGGTGAGGAATATTAAAAGTATCTTGTCAAATACAACATATGATTCTTTTCAAATTTTTAAAAGCAAGATAAATAACTTAGTAGTGGAGTGAATGCGGCTCAAAGTGACTACACTGGACTAATTTGTAATACTGCAAATGATCCAGTTTTCCACTCAATTTATAAAAACCACAAGGTACTGAACATTCCACAGTTTAACATTGAAAAAAAAAGTCCCAAGAAGGAATAAAATTGAAACACTTACATCAAGAGAACTAATTTCTTCCAAATCCTGGACCTCCCGAATAGGGTTACTTTTCTGCTGCCTGATGTAATCTGCTATTGCTGTCACAGATCTCTGGCCCCTGTATTCCCTCTTCATCATCATGCCATTCCGGAAGAGTTTCAGAGTTGGGTATTTGCTTATCCTGTACCTCTGAGCTATATCAGCTAAAAAGAAATTAAGAGAAGGAAAACAAAGCCCTATAAATACAAAAATACACTGAACATGGTTTCTTATGCATGTATATGACTACCTGTATGTGGAATCTATGAACCAGCAGTTCTACATCTTTAAGCAACAAGAAGACAAAAAAATCCCAAAAAAACAAACAAGAAAACCCCCACCAAAAACAAACCCCCCAAAACCAAAAAACACCAAAACCTTTCACACCTATATTCCTCCCATGTACTGATCTTCATAAAGAAAAAAAATTACCCAAATCTGCTCTAAGCAAAGACTCAACTTTGTTGTATATACTAATTTAGTACACTTACTACAAACAACTAGGAAGGCAAATTTAAGGGCATAGCAAGAACATGAGAATTTTCAAAGCTTGCCAATCTCAGTTAATTAAGCCACTTGAGAAAATGTTAATAAAATAAATAATCTATTTTTCTTTAAACTTATGATTTTCATCTCAGTTGCAATGCTGGAAATATAACTGTCAAGTCTAAAATGTTTGAATATGTAAACCTTGGGCAAAGTATTTTTTGAAGGCTGTGAAGGCCAGAAGACTGCTGTTACAGTTCCAAGATGTTCAGGTTTTGAACAAACACAAAATTCCAGGTTTCTAAATTAAGGCAAACACCTCTCTAGTCAACCAGTATCATCATTCCCTTCAAGACAGGTCTTCATTCACATTTATAGATGTAGTCCAGTCTTCTTCTAGGCTTGGACCACACAGAGATTCACACAACAAAGTAACATGTATTGACATTAATCTAGGACAAGAGCACTAGCTCTTTTCATATTTATGGAACAGGTCAGTTATTTATTTGTTCACAAGACTTACAAATGTAAAAGAATAAAAACAGAAAGAGGTTTTACAGGAGAATTAGAAGAGCAGCAAAGAAGAAAGCTAAGCAGAAGCAATACAGTCCAGTTTCCCACACATGTGCATCCTGTGCCCCTTAACTTCAACCACTACTAAGGCACTAATGTTGTTCTTCACTGCACCCCACCAGAGTCCTTAGCAGGCCCCTTTGTCCCTCTTCCACTTTGCTAAATCACTGGGACACAGCAAACTGCAACAGAAGTTGCAGCTAGCTCCCAGCCACACATTGATGGGCAAGCTTACACATAACCAGCAAGTGATTCATGGCACACTGAGCAAGATCCAGCTGCCTTGTGTTTTTACAGCAGCCTTTGCTATGGTGTAGAAATTGGGTTTGTGCATCTCCAATACTCAGCAACTGCTTTAATCAAAATTTTTAAGTATTTAATAGCTTTGAATGCTCTTCCCCCTTTCAGATGTGGCTGAAGTCCAGGAAAGAACTTCACAATTTTATGAGGAGGAACTGAAGAAATGAGGTAACCATATATACTTTGGGTTCTTAGGAAAGAAAGAATAAAAACAAACAGTAGAGACAAAGTATGTAATGTCAGACAGATTCTCACTTTCCTATGGCTTTTGCTTTGCTTAATGATTCCCTCCTGTTCACTCGTCCCCTGGAAATAAATCTAGAAAAAAAGAAAATCTCACAGACCATGTGAAAACTGTTTATCTTCTTTTACAGAATGGAATGCAGTTTACCTATATCTCTGGACCTAATTTCAACCAAATACCCCCCAAATATGAACACCTTCCCCAAGCTACTCAACCATTTGAGGAGATTCGTTCCTTAGTCAACCACACCCACCAAACCTCCCCTTCTTTTCTCTGTCAAGGAAAGACAGAGGTGGTGAATTCAGCAAACTGATTGATCCTTTGGAGACAGAGACGTTTCGACAGAGAGAGGAAGGCATTGCAAGGGTGGCCTGCACACATGTCCTCACTTCTTTTCATGGACTCCTTACAAGCCACAGGGTACTCTTCAGCTGACCTGGATTAGCTCACACCAGGAAGGCAACCAAATGGGGTCCATGAGCACATGTGGCACAATACTGAATGATGTGAGAACAAATCCACTCTGACAAAAATGTCCTTTCTCAGTCATATATTTACCACAAAGCAGATTTGCTTTCTATCTTACACTTACTCTTTTTTTAAGAGAATGGAGAAGTCTGAATTCCATGCTGCCTGGAGAGCTCTCAGTGAAACCATCAGTAATTTCAATTGCTGCTACAACAATACTAATCCTACTTGCAGCTTTAGTTACTGAAAACAGTCTCTGTACCAGTTGCACAGCTTAGATGAGTCTGAGAAGTGAAAACAAAATGTGCATAGCAAAGGAATAAGAACCAGGTCTACTCCACAAAAATGTTCTTTAACATCTCCCAAGTAAACTTCAAAACTTAGCCCAGCTCCTAAAAAGTTTTGCATCACTATAAAATACCACAGAATTCAATCTATCAATTTTGACTAAGAGGCCTTGACTTGTTTCCTAAATATCCCAGAAGTGCATTTCTTAATGCTCTAATTACAGTTAAAATTAAGGTAAAACATTTTATGTCCTAAGTGAAGAGTACTTTTATTTCAAATTCATACAAATTTCTCCAGGGAGGATGGCAATATATTCAACATTAATGAACACCAGATTAATAATGTTTTCTTCCCTTAAACTCTACCACGTTTTAGTTAAAGTACGTAAGAGCTGCCAGCAAGGAGGTGGCAAGTACAGCAGAGGAGGAATCACTTTATATTTGCTTGGTAGAAGACAAACAACATCTGCAAGCCAGGCATTTGCTGCCCTTCTCCCCTGCTGACAGAAGGACCTTTGGTCTGACAGTACATGAGCCAATCCAACCTTGACCAGGTCTGATAAGGGACGAGGAGCACAGCTGTCAAGGCTCCACAGAAACACACTGAGATTAACCACTCCTCCTGTTATAGAGCTGCACTGCAAGACAGCACCACACCACACCACACAATTTTTTGTCTCACAACATGGACTTTTCTCTCACATTATTTCCACAGCTGTAGAAGGATGCAAGGGTTGAAGAATGGGCATTCAGGGGGTCATGCAGGCTCTCCAAGATGGAGATTGCAGTACCTAAGGAAGTGGATCTTCATCAAGGGCTGAAGTTGTGTAAAAAAATTAATGGTAATACATGCCCATTGTCAAAGCTGAATTCAAACATTATTTCATAAGTCAGTACTTGCATGATCTTTACAAATTACATTGAGATTCCATGAATGCTGGTATTTGAACTAACACAGAGAAATGACACTCCTACACAAGTAAGTATTTGAAAACCATCTTTTTACAAAAAATAAAATGCAAGTACATGAAAAATTGTTTGAATTAATTCAAAAGTCAAATAGAGTAAACCTTAAATGCTTCATTAAGCCCTGGCATTTGATACAGGTAGAGTTAGCACAAGCCGTGCAACTACAAAATTATATTCCTTTTAAAATTGGAAATACACAATGCAAATACATGGAATATTGCTTGAGCTCATTCACAGATTGCATTAGTTATAGTAAATCCTAAATTAAATTTTAAAATATTTCCTGACGTTCCCACTGCCCATTTTCTGATGAAAAGAGGTATTTGAAACAGACAAGGGCAACCCACCTAAAAAAAACCTCCCAACTACAACTTTTTTTTTTTCTTCAGATATGAAGGTACCTAAAAGGAATAAACTTTGTGTTTGTATTTTGCTGAATTAATAATTAAATCACAAATCCAGTTTTTGTACTACCAGAATAGTTTCACATTAGTTATGATAGGAAGCTACCGACACACTCCATCATCTTTTCTTCTACAAATCAGAAGCTTTGAGCAACAGCAATGACTGTTGAATTCAGATGATTCCTCCCCATTTTGCACATTTACCTGTTGACATGCAACCATTTCCAAGCTACCTAGACTTTTTTCCATTATTCATTCTGCCAACTCCAAATGGAATATCTTACAGTCATGTAGTTCTCTTCAGAGATGCACTGTACTGATTGATACTTCTCCTGAGCAAAGCTCTGTCTTACAACAGGGAAGGGACAGCAGCTCTTGTTTTGAAACAAACTTTTATGTGAAACCTGACATCTACACTGGTATTTTTCTCCCACGCCACCTTCTGAGCAAGATCCTCTAAGAAAGCAGGCTTTGTGAGCTATCATTTGTGACCTGTATCTTTATAATATCTCTTGTATTGTCACCCATTTTGCCGTTGTCAGAGCATTGTGTGTTCCCCTATTCAAAGGAATGCCAAAGCCGACTTTTTGGGGTGTCTCAGGTTTTTCTCATGGTGTGTACACACACTACCCAAGCTACAGCTTCAAGCAAGCACACAGCCAGTGACTTGTTTCTCAGAATGCTTCAGACTCCACCATTCTAGGTTAACACCACAACACACTACCCAAAGTTCAGCTAGCAAGGTATCAGATCGCGTGACCAAGAATCTCAATTCCATAGCCACCAAGCTGAAATTAAATGTACAATGAATAATGTGCTGAAAAACTATATTGAAGGAGGCTCCCACCCACAATGTAGCTAGGAAGGTCCTTCCCAGTGAAGGACCAGCAATATTTACAAGGGTCACTATTAACTCAGTACACTGTTCTAGTTTTTCATGGCCATAATTCACACTATGACTAAACAAATACTTAGATTTTAAGTCTACAGGACTGGTTCTCAAAAAACGTGTCTCGTGGGATTCGAACAATACTGATAATTATCCTAAATGCCTACCTCATCATATAAGGCACCACCTGAAGAATTCACATGCTGAACAGGGGACTATAAGAGCCTGAAAAGTTATCTGAAAGAAAATCAGTTTCAAACCCTGTAAAAATAACTTCTGAAAATACTCAAAGGTCCCTTTTTCTAGAGAAGAAGAGGGTGGTGTTTTCATGTAGTCTGAGGAAGAGCTAACACAAACACAAGATACTGCATTTCCTAACTGTGGTGTTGCATGATGGTTGTAGGAGTTGCACAACCACATATAGAGAGAGCTTGAATTTTCTGGATCCAACACTAAGCTTTATTTTGTGTGTCAAATCATCTTAACTCTTCCTTACCTTTCTGCAATATCTTCCACCTCAAAAATAATAAATTCTTTCAGCTGTATGTTTGAAGCTGGAATGACTAAATGAGTATTCTGTTTGCTCACTTGAAATCAGTCAACATCTTTTGAAGTCCCTCAGGCTACCCACCAGGGCATGCTACAGATGACAAATGAAATCTGTCTTTGATAGGTACTTTTTACTTTCATAATATACCATAAATTCTCCCCAGTTAAACTACTGCTCTTGTGACACTTGCAAGAAATCATAAGCCCTGGTGGAATACTCAGAAGAAGCAGAATTAGAAAGAAACTTGGGAAACCATCTAAACTAGGCATACTGCTCTAGTGATTGTGACACTGGTGACTTGTATGATGGACCAAAACAGGTAGAAGGAAAACAATCAATATTCTGTATCAAACTCTAACAGCAAATTTAAACCACCTTCTGCTGCAAAGGAGCATTCACAACAGCCATGCCTGCTCTAAGCAGGGCCTCATCAGTAGGCATCCCATAACCTTCTCTGACAGACTAATAAAATGGCTCTCCTGAGGAGTGCCATCAACAACCTCTCCAAATCACTTACACTTTTTATTTTATCCAAAAATAACTCTCTCAGACTGATTTTTTTTTCCAAGCAAAGTAACAAGAATGCAATGAAATCCTCATACCTGTTTAGAGTTTCATTTAGGGTTCCTTTATGAACTTCCAAATTTGTTATCATTGAGTTCTTTCGCTTATCAAAGGCACAGTAGCAACATAATCTCATCTCTGCAGACTAACATTAGCAGCATGAGCACACATTGCAGGAACACAGAGAGAGCAGCAGCTCACAAAACTGAGGGAAAATACCATTCCCAGACACATTTTGAATGGAAGAACAACAGTTCCCTAAACAGTCTGCCCAGCAAAGCATCTCCTTACATACCCCCAGTGAGGAATTGATTTATGTTTGGAGGCACAAAGATCTATTCAAACTAGCTACTATTTTTTATTTAACTCAGAAACCAAAGGAAATCATGGTGCAGTAAAATCAAACCCCCAATATTCTATACCACAGCTCCTAATGTTGAATTTAGAGAAACTGTCCAAAACATAAACTCTCATCCAGAGCAACATGAGTTCTAGATTGCAATATTCACTCGCAATAGGAAATCTATTGCACCGAGTTTCCAACACCCCTGCTTAACACAAATGATTAAAAAAGCAAGGGAAAAAAAACCCAAAAAACCCAAATAAACAAAAAACCCAAACTATGAAACAAAACCTTCCTAATAATGCCTATGCAGTAGGATCTTCTGTAATTTTATAAGGAAGATCACTTTTACTAGGCATTATACTTAGATGAGAGGAGTCTAATATTTAATTACTAAATTGAATTACTGAATCACTAAATTGAACGTATCAAAACCAAAGATTTTTAACAAGATAGAGTGTAGCAGAACTCGGATATTTTTAAGTTATAAAAGGATGTGGTCTTGGAAATAAAAAGAGTATCTGCTTCAGATTCACCTTTGGTGTGTTATACACCAGCTTAAACACAGCCTGGTGATTTTGCTGACACATTTCAGGTATAATTATCTTCCACAATATTATAAACTAGTGTAAAATATAACACCATACAGAGGCTTAATATAGAGTTAATATGTATACTTACAAAGTTAATAACTATATCATTAACTATATAGTTAATATAGTTATAATATGTGTAAGGTACTCTATCACTTTCCAGAAAAACATCTTTATCTTGGCTATAAGAGCAGACAGAATGATGGTTTTGTCATTAGGCATCAAACATTTGGCAGTACATCAATAATTCTCTTTAATTTGCTTTACCCTCAGAAGCTGGTGGGAGCTGTTGGGCCCTGCAGTGTGCTTCAATAATAGTGCATTAAATAGAAAGTATCTATGCCTGAGTGACCATCCTGAAAGCTGTTTTTGAGTGGCCAGAAATCAGCTATTTAGATTCCCTACAGAGTCTTGGCCTCAAAAAGAACCAGATCATTTGTAATGCAAATAATCCACCATCTCTAGAACACCATTCTAATAGTGAATTACTAGTGGTATGAAATCTACATTTGGTGGCATAACAAACCACCAAAATATTGACATAAAACCTCTAGTGTTGCTAAAATATGTAAACACATACAAAAATATAAAGCTTGAGTAAAAAATCCCAAGCTGCTAGCAATCTTGACACCAGCATTCAGCAAAATACTACAGCAGGCCCAACCTTGATAATACATTAATATCCGATTTCTTACTAAAAAGCTGCTATTGTACACGTTAAAATCCAAGTTAAAATACCTAAAACTTCCAGCCATGCCCAATAACTGTGCGCCATGAAATGTACCATTGTTTAAAACCCAGCAAATAAATACTAGAAAAAAGGAATGCCATGCACAACTTTGCTACTTCAATTCAAAAAGGCAATGTAAATTGCCTGTCATTAAAGGATTTTATTTTTAATTCTCACATTTTGTAACTTCTGCAAAAGCAGCCATGCTCACTTACTTAAATTAAGGACAAAAATAGTAAATCCAGAGAACTAACGGTATTCCAGAAATAAAAAGAAAAATTAAAACTCCTGTCTACCTCCTACTACTTAGCCCATTACAAGTACTCTCAGGAGAGGGATGACAATCTCTTCCGTATCATCTCCTCCTCTTAGCTCTCTGTAACAATCACAAACTACTTTAATTCAAAGAGCATATGAGAGGATTAAGTAATACACTTTTAAAGTGTTTCCAGCACTTGGTGAGAGGCAAAAAAAATACTTTCTTAACTATAACTGCTAAGAAGAGAATGTCTCATAGCTAAACACCGGGCATCCAGCAGCCCAGACTCTCTGAGTTATTCAAGCAACTGAAGCTATAGCAACCAAAGTAAGGACTTCAGCAGTTAATTTAAACCTTAAGAATAAAATGCAACAACACAGGCTGATTTTACTATGGTCTTTAGTGAGAACTTTCTATAAAGTTGTTGTTATCTTGACATGAAAAGATGAGCCAATTTCCAGTGATGCTTGTTCTTACAAATTAACAGTTTTGTAAAGCCCAAATAGTATAATCAGTACTGATTAAACTGAATTTCTGCTGTTAATATTCTTTGGGTATCACAAGCCACTGTAAAGAAATTATTCTTAGAAAGGCTGTTCTCCAAGAAGCATAAAACAATACAGCTGATCCAATAGTGTAATAAAAATCCTGGTACTATCCATTTGCCTTTCAATGTGCAGCAGATATTCCTCACATTTTACTTATTAAAGGATTTAAAAGGAACTTTAGGGATTAGTAACAGCATAAAGTAAGATTTTGCATATCATTTTCACATATGGCTGGGCATGGGGAAAACCCAACCCAAATAGGCAACTGTTTTCTGGCATGTGTAACAACAGCAGAGCAAAGCTCTGATCCCTGCCTGGCTGTATGAAAGGAAATTTACAACCCCCACCATGACTCCAAGGTGGAAGGAAGATCTGATCAGAACATATTCTTCATGCTAACAGTGGTAGGTTACCCCTTCCTCTTCTTGGTTGTGAAGACGTGCATCATTTGTTGCCATAGTGCTTCTCTGACACCTCAATGAGCCAATTCAATTTATAATCACAGCCCTTTTATCCTTATTAAATGAGATAGGCTGAACCGATTAAAAAAAAAAGGATGCTAACGGATGCAACGAGAAAGAAATATTAGAAATTGCCCTGACAAATATGGAAGAAGAGGTTTGCTGATGTAATAAAAGCAACCCTGGGCTAAATAATGGGCCAGCTACAGCTATACTTTGCACAGCTATTTAGCATATTTTTTAATACAATTACTAACTTGGTAGTAGGACAGCACAGAAAAACCTAAATCAGGATTTACTTACAATGCTGGTCACAGTCTACTCTAGCAAATACCACTTGATTCTTATCTGGATATTCTTCTTTGATTACATTAGAAGCTTCCTCAAAAATAGGATGCAGCATTTGGCTGAAGCGGCACCTGTAAATAGAACACAAAATCATGACTTCAAAATATCACTTTGAAATATTTCAATCTTTGAAGGAAAAAGAAAAAAATAGAAAAGAAAGAAAAGCCATTGGAAAATTCACATCTACCCGTAATTATCCCAGTAACTGACCAGATAAAAATCAGTTCAAAAGTAACTTGAATAAATCAGGTGTGGAAAAAAAGTAATTCTGAAAGAATCTTGAACATAGTTCAAGATATACTCCCCTGCTTTATCTCCCTAGGAAACACCATTAATCAATTATAAGCCTTTAGGAAATATACTCTATTCAGAAAGCATGTTATTCATTTTTTTCTACCTGAATTACTCCATGGAAAGTGATTTTAAAAATGTGGTAAAATAAGTTCCTTAGATTGTTGACATTGAAATATTCACCAACACCTTCAAGAAATATCACAGGTAATTTTCAAGTTGTAAGTATTATGTATTATATTATTGCTCAGATTTGGCAGAATTTGAGCAGACTGCTTTTACAGCAGTAAGAACAAAGAGAACCCTAAGGGTCCCTTCTTCCAGTAATGTCAGATTTTGAAACACATTCTCTCTTTCTGCCCACAGAAAAGGTGGTAGGATTGTAAAGATGCTTCAGTGGCTTTAGGGAGTTTAGGGTAACAGTAGTGCACAAGACCATTACTAATATGTCAATAAAATTATTTTATATTCTGTCCTTCCAAACATACGGCAGATTTTTAAATTGAAGATGCATAATGGCACTGTAGAAATCGTGAGAATGAGACTTGAAGGAGTAGACTTGCAATAAACCAGCCTGCACTGAAACCCACCTTAAACTTAACAGTGACAGACTGGGGATGTAGTTATGTCTGCAACAGCAAACATGTAAGTGAAGAGCAAGTCTTGCTCTCAAAATGCCAAGAGAGCTGAAGTCCACCTTCTGAAAAAACCTGACTCTGGCCAGCCCAGCTCAATGCTACACATTTGTGTAGCATGTATATGTAAACATGTATATGCTACAATGGCTTCCTATCCCTCATTCTTCTCCACCCTTAAAACAGAGAACTTCCATGACCAAAACTGATCTGTTCTCACTCAAAAGTCAATTTACATCACATACTGACAGTGTGCTATGTAGAGGGACAATTGCTGAATGCCTAAAAGTAATGATCATAATTAAGGTTGTAATGTTTTAAAACTATAACCTATCATAGTATGAACCTAGCAAGCAAAGACAGGAGAAGCAATTGGGACATAAACCCAGGAAAGAACTGGTTTGAAAGCAACAGACTACTGTATTTTCAATTAGAAAATTATAGCCAAACATGACAGTTTTCAAAAGACAGAAGCTTAAATATAAAAAAAGAAAAACAACTTGAATAACTTACCAATCAGCATAAAAATTAACTAAAGCAACATCTGCATTGTCTGAGAAGAAAAAGAAAAAGCCCAATGTCACATTGTGAGGCAAACTTCTCAGTTCTTTTATCTGAGATTATAAAAGTAGTGCAAAAAAACTACAAAAGCAAGTATTTCCAGATAATTCATCATAGAGCTTAGTCTGATTCCTAGAAAACTGCTGGGGTAAATATTATCTGAAATATAATCTATAACAAATGGGAAAGAGATGAAAGAGACCTTCAGTCAAGTGTTCTATTGACTTTATTGATATCTAAGACCAAAAAGAAAGTAGATACTTAAGGCATTAAAACACAAGTAATTAAGTGACACATGAGGTAAAAATTATTTCTGGATTTAAAAGTAAGGCCACATCCAGAAATTGAACTCTAGTAGCTCTTAAGCTCTAGCTGTATTAATCATAAGTGTTAAAATCAGTTAAAAGCTGAAATCCTAACTATGTGGGGTAGAAGACTGATGAACAAGCAGCCTTTATGTGCAACTTGCTCTGGTTTGTCCTTACTTGTCTTATTTAACCTGGATACTCTGGCAAAAGATAGCAAAGAAATTTTCAGTCCTCAAAAATAGAAAAATGCTAAGGAACACTAAAAAAATGCAGTACTACAGGGATACATACAATGAGGTAATGAAATAATGTTCTTGTGCATTATTAAAAAAAAGTCATAAAAGCATAAATCTCCTCCCCAAAAATAAAGTATGATCTTTACAGAATATAATAATCAGCCATGCTTTAAACTGATTTTTGGTAGTAGTACTGGCCTAGACACTGAAAAAAACATTAAATACCTACTCAAACTACAGAATATCAACCACAGCTTTGTAAAGCAAAAATGCTGACAAAGCAGAAAATTGACAAAGTACAGAGCAGTTACATGTGAAGATAAGGATGCTGAAAGCCTGGAAAAGACAACATGCTGATAAAGACAACACTTGAGTAGGCTGGAGAACACCAATTTTGATTATAATTACAGTGTTAAGACTGTCATCATCAAGAGATGTAAGTGGTGAATAGGTAAATAACAAGCACTGAAAAGTTTAGGGTTACCTCCAATGCATAAAGTATTGCTTGAAAGTAATGGGATGAATTTTAAAAGCACTTACACTTAGCATATATTCCCTCTTGTGAATTACATTGTATAAAATAATTTTATATTTTCCATTGTAGAAAAGGTATTTACAAACAGCTCTCATATCACAAAGCAATACATAATATAGGGCAGATTCTAGTCCAGACCTTAATAAAGATTTTTTTCCTCATGGCTATATTTGAAACAATGTAATAACTTTTTCCTGCAAAAACAATCAGATACAGGCAAGTTGCATACTTCTCAGAGGGAAAGGCTTCAGACAAGAAGTATATATCTGTTTAAAGATTTCCATCTATGAGCCACCAGAATCCGGACAGTGCTTAACCTGAGGAAAGGCAGAGCTGAACAAGCAAGATACTTAAGGCCCATTACCATGGGTTTCACCTGCTGCTATTTTTGGGGGGAACTTTTAAAATGCCCTCTAGATTGGTTTTGGTTATGTAATCAAGCATTCCCTTCTGCAAACAAGATAACAGTTATTTTCTTAAGACACTTCAAATTCTCATTGCAATACATTAGTTCAGACAGCTAATTTCGACCACAGGCATTTCATACTTCTAAGCTGATTGCAATTCATATATTCAAAGCTAGGGTATGAATATTCATTTAACATCACTACAATATTCACACAGATAAGTAACTGCAGACATACAAAGAAAAAAATTATTCGAAATACTCACTTAAAATGTCATCTATATTTCCACTATCTAGACTTGTTATTTCACTTCTTGCTGGATTAAAAAGCCAAGACACCTAAAAAGAGAAAGCAAACCAGTAAGGTAAGTTACTTCTTTACTGCTGAAACATGTATGATTTTTAAGTGCTGTAGTTCAAAAGCTGGAGAAGAACAGTAAAAGAACTGTAATTCAGTCAATGTATTTCAGATAACGGCAGTACTACAAATATACAAATAAACTACAGATATACTTTCACATTTAAAGCAGAATTAGTTATTTCAATACAATTTTCCATTACGTAGCCAGAGATGTTTCAGGTAAATTTTGCACCTTTAAGAGTAACTTATATTCCTGTCTTCACTCTGAAGAAAGAAATGAAACCCCTTTTCAGCAACCTCACACAGCCCAGAAGCATGTGGGCACAGAGGTTTTACCCAAGACAAGTAATTCCTTCTGTCATTTATAGGACTTGTCTGGCTAAAAAGCTTCTCATTAAGTAAAGCCTCAATTGCCTGCATTTTTATTGCTGTTTTAGAAAACAATTTCAATACATCTAAGTCAACTAGTTACAGTCTTTTATCTCCTTCTGTATTTCCACTTGACACTGCTTCAGTCCCAGCATGCAATAGGATTATCAGACTATAAAAACCAGGACACCACATCAGCCAAATCGTTCAATTACAAAGCAACATTTATATTACTCCTCATGTAACTCTCATAGCAATACACGGTTTTATGGATGGACACTCATTTCAGTGCAACTAGCCCAGATCTTTTTTCCTAAAATGCAGTGGAAGAAATAGGAGGTAGAGTTCTATCCCAGGTAAGAGAGGCATCAGTGAATTACAATTTACTTTTGCTTTGAGAGAGACAAGCACGCTAATTTTTGAGTAGGATAATATAGATTCTTGTCTGGGATATGAATGTTTTCAACCTGAGAAAGCCAGTCAGAAAGTCATCACTTCTCTAAGCACAGTCAGGGCTTGGACCAGATGCTCTGCAGTAATGCCTTCACATCAATTTTCAATTGACGTATGGTTCCTCAACTGACAGAGGTAATAGGAAAGGAAAAGGAAGGTTTTCAGAAGAGAACTGACAAGAATGCACAGGTCAAGGAGTTGGCCAGAGACAAGAGATTCACAGAGACAACCTGCACTGAGATGCCACAGCACACAACATACATGCTATCAGTGTTCCCAGAGACTTATTTACTCCTTGAGGTGCAAAGAAAATCTGCCTATGGCTGAAGAGGCACCAAGGAAAAACACAGCTAAAATCATAAAGACCATCCAAATAAAACCACGTAGAGTAGCTGCATAGCAGGAACCAGTGATAGAACATTGACATTGCATTTATGGAAGAGCCTGAGACCTATCTTGAACCTATAGTAGGACCACGACTACAAAGAACAAGCTTCCAGGATATACCTGCCTTTGACACTGCTTACAATTTATCAAAAAACTAATTTAATGCCACACACCAAATTTCCTAATATGTATTACAAGTGTATATGAAATATTTGATTGAAAAAAAATTACCAAACTGGATCCCTGTTTTCCTTAAGATCAGCTAGAAACTTCTCCAGTGAGACACTATCAAGAGCTCTAAAACCATCACTGTAAATCACACACAGGTGAGATCTGCAGCAATCAACCATTTTCAATTCTTTCCCATTTGTGGATCACTAACCAGAAAAATTACTAACGTAGATCACTAATCATTTCCCAGTGAAGATACTAATTCTTTCACATTTCACATATGGAGGCCCTTGGGTAGCATATAAGTCTATCTTATACGACAGGCTGGAAACACACCAGCTGTTGGAATACAGAATACGTACCAGTGCTTCTCTCTTGTACCATTCTTAAATGCAAATCTAAGATTTGAGGTGGAGTTTGCACAGTCTTCCTGTGGCACTTCAACTGCCTGAGACAAGTGTCTGAACTGTGGTTCTAGGAGGACCGCAGAGAAACAAACCTAATGGTTGAGATGTGAGGTCCAGAGATTAAACAGGCAGTGTAACAACAAAATCTGCCAAAAAATTATGATTAAGCAAGATATGCAATGCACAAGTTCCAGTAGGCTAGTGTTCAAGGAGCTCCTCTCAAGATGCTGGCAGCAAGAGGGTAGTGAGAAGCTACCTGTGTGGACCTGGATCCACACTGGCCAAATTATCCCCAGAGAAGTAACAGGTGATGGCAACCATTAGTGCAGACACCTCCCCATCACCCCTTCGGTGGTGCATGGGTCCATGGGTGCTGGTGACAGCTTCCATGGCGTTGCTGGGGGGAGGTTCTGGCAGTAGAAGTTATGTTTGTAGTGAGTAATGGATCAGGTCAGTGTGTGCTGGCACAGGTTTTGTTGCACGTGCTGCTTTGTTGCAAATGTTAGGTTTGACCTAACTTGTGTACAACTGAAGCAATAGCTACAACTAACAATAAGTTGGAATATTGCTCTAGACAATAATGGATAGGGTATTTCAACAACAATTTTCTTGGCCATCATCTGATCCTACTGCAGGTGACTTTCCAAATTCAATGTTCTAAGGCTTCATCTGCCCTGAAAGGCCTCAAGAACCTCTGATCAACCTGAAGACCACAGAGTTACTTATCCTGCTTGTATCCTGCTGGACAAGGTTTGTTAACAGAGAAAATCCACACAAGCCTCTAGAAAGCAGGAACTTTTCAGCTGCTGCACACAAGCTCTGCATCACCATTCACACTTTGAAAAGAATTTCCGCAGTAGGTCTTGGTGTAACTATTTTCACAAGAGCTCAGCAGCAGCAGTTCATATTGTCTAAACAAACTGAATGGGTAAGATAACAATTTCTTAAACCTTCCTGGCTTCTCCTAGTATAACTTTCCAGTAGCAAGACAAATCTTATCTAGTAGGATAAGTTACACATAAATTAAACATAACATAGATAAGCATATTATTTGCAGTTGAGAAATAGGCTCTGTTACTTAGCAGATACAAATTCAATGGATCAGGAACTGCAGTCATATTTGTAGATTGCCACAATACACTTAAAATACATTTAACTTGCAATGCAAATATTTAACTGCACCATGAAAGCACAGGACTTAACTAACCAATGCAATCCTTTTCTAGACTGTGCTATATGTAGAAAAAAGGAATTAAAACTAATACTTCTTTATACCACAAATAAATTTTGTGGTTGCTTTCTTCACTCTTACTGTGGAAATGTGGTGCAAGCTGCATGTACTAAGACATTAACATCAAAACAAATATGCCAAACATCATCTTGTATTGAAGGTGAAAAACAAACTAACCAAGTACCCCACTGTCCCTTTATATTATAGTAGTGGAAAAACATTGAGACTGAGACACCTTTCCCCAAAAGTTGTACAAAATCTGAGATAACTGAAATACTTTTCCCACTAGAAGTATGAAAATTTCTGTTTTGTCAAATATATTCATAATCACGTTCTCAAACATTTTATACTGGCTAAATAATTCTGGGTGCCAAACTTTTAATAATAAGTAGATAGATCCAGAGAAAAAAAGCATTCCTTGAAGAAATGTCAATAAATATGCAAGATTCACTCCAGCTGAAGCTTTCATTAAGGTATAATGCCTGTAAGGAAGAAAACACCTCCTTTTGACCCAGTAATCTTGCTATCCCATGGGATACAAGAGGGTTTATGATATTACTACTATTAATATTTATCATGAAGGAATACAAATTTGTATTTAAATTTCTAAGAAGCTACACTGCTTTGAGAATATTTTCTGACCTTTTTAGCAGCCTGTGCTTGATACCCATGACCAGAAAACAAGATATTTTTGAGGAAATAATTTCTGAAAATCAGCTACACACTTTATAGCAGGTATTGAACATAAGTTCTGAAAAACATAGTGGCCAAGAGAAGTATTCAGAATTTTTCACTTTACATTCTACTGGCTCACAGCAGGACGTATGGATGATGTTCATATTTGTAACTGAAAGTAAAAAAAATAAATTTCAAACTGACATCACAAGATAGCTACAAACTCATTGAAGAAAGCATCTTGAAAAAATAATTCAAAAGGAAAATTGGTTACTTAAGCACACCTGAAAACAATTCACATTTCTGTACTTACATTGGATAAAATTAAGTAATTCTTATATTTCTAGTTTTTAAATGTTCAGACTGAAAATCTGAAGGTAAAACTAAGTAGTTATGAAATAAAAACATTTTAAAAAATAGAGCAGAATATGATATATAAAATACTTGAGTGAAGCTGCTCAAGTTAGATTAGGATGTTTATAATCTACTGGCAATATTTAACACTACAGAAAAATGACAAAACAAATGTAGACTGAAACAAGGGAATGCAGAAAGCTTTATGCACTTATAGAATATGTTGTTGGGAGAAAAAAATCAGGAACTGAACAATGCATTCACAAAGATAAAATTTAGCTCATATTGGGGGAGAGAAGAAGAGGAGATGACACATACTTTTACTCTTCTGGTCCTCAGAAATATTGTCAAATAAAGTAGGAACATCATGGCTCAGGTTCCTGGGAGTTTCTGAAGATAACAGTGGTCATGCATTTACTGGGAACTTTAATTAGTACAGAAATCTTAAGTGTTTTTGATTAAGATTTGGTCCTTAGCTGAAGTTAGTCAATGGCTTAGGGAGCCAGTACCAGTCACTTCTGAGGAACAACTATGAATTAGCTGAGATTTACTCTGATTGTTTCCAATGAAAAGACTTCAAAGCACTGCTGGAAAGCCAATATCATCCTCCCAAACATGCCATGCAATGCCACACAAGTATCCTCACACAAAACAAAATACCTGGACAGAACCTATTCAACTCATACCCAATGCTGAACCTCTGCCAGGTTTCACATCACTTTCCCAAAGAGGAAATAAAAGCACATCCAGTTTCCACTCACCTTCTGCTGATAGTATTGCTGCTCAATTGCCATTCCACACATCCAATTAATAAAGCCTGCCGGTTATTCAAGAGATTTATGTCAACCTTTTATCAACATTTTACCAGCACCAGTTAGTGTTCTTAGTTCTTTAATTGCTAACTGGAAAGGAGAGACAGACTCGTAGGTTTAATGGTATTTCTTTTTCAAGTTTATTATACTTTACATGCCACTTTCTTGCAGAAGATTTAAAAGTTTAAATGGACATAACCTTAAAATTGCAAGAAAAGAAAAAAAGAATCCAGGTCTGATGCATTCTAGTTCTTTGTGCCGTTATTTTTTAATGCACATAATGAAATAGAGGTCCTTATTTCCAAAGTAAACTACCTGTGGAATATAGAAAATGTATTCATGGAGCATTATGATTTCTAATTAATACTACCCCTGCAAGGCAATCAACAAGAACAGCTTTCATTTTCACTTGCTAAACTTTTCATTTACCTTTTTCTCCTGCTGGGAATTCCTAAAGGCACACAACTAAACTATCTTTCTCCTCTAACACAAAATCATTTTACATTTGGCAGCCAGGTCTAGCCCACACCTAATCCAGACTGACATGCTGAAGTTACTACCTGAAGTCCAAACCCCCAGGACCCTGCTGCTGACTGTCAGCCCCTGAGTACCTCTTTTTTTATGCATGCTGCTGATCTGAGGTCTGCATTAAACTCCTGGACAACAGGAAGCAGACGGGTTTACAGCCTGATGTAGGATGACACAAATTGAAAGCAATCCCAGAAGACAGCAATGCCAAAGCTGGCAAGACATTGTAAGAGCCCCTGAATTTTGGCTTCAGAAGCATCAATCAGGAACATCTTGCTGGCGGCATTCCCAGAAGGCCCATAATGAACCACAAAGTTCAGAGCAGAGAGAGGTAACAGTAAATAGAGAATGCTAAGGGAAAATAAAAAAAGAACATTATTCACCCTCTCAGTGAGAGGAGTTCAACTCTTAGTTGTCATCACTTGATTCCAGACTGTGCCCAAACATTTTCATAACTTAGACTGACAGCAGCCATCACTGATGAATATGCAGGGTTTTTATTGGTAATGCAAGCTGCTTTCATTATAAGACTGTGAGACTATCTATTAGTTCAAAACATTAACTAATGATCCCTTCTCAATTATATTCAAGCTTTCAGAGCAATGGGTAACAAAAATAATTTTCTTATAATTTTTCACTTAAGAGTCATATCTTAAATTTAGTCAGGAAAATTTAATATGCTCAAAAGAAGCTACTTAAAACAGATTTAAAGATTGCAGTTACTAATGTTCAGGAGAACAAAGAAAAAACTAACTAAACAGAAATATGGATAATATTTAATTAGAAAAGTAAACTTTCTTCTTCAGCCTTGATAGACAGTTCATTTTTATGCTGTTTTAGCCAAACAGTGCTGTAACTGCACAGAGCTAAGAGAGACCACCATAGTAAAAAGAAGTCACACAATTTTTCATCCTCCACATACCTTGTTGTCAGTCCCATTTTAAGAGTGTGGAAGGAATATCTGGTGTAGGTGCATATCTTATTAATACTGAAAAACTTATTTTCAAATGAAAACACTGGAAAGAGAAAAATTCTCAATTTGTAATGCTATCTTTGAAAATCCAAATGATATTGATTTGACATGCCAAATCAGGAAAAAGAACTCGCAGCTAATGGTTCCTAAAACTGAACTTAACACACAAGCAAAGGAGTTGAAGGATTGCCCCATTTGACTGGGAATAGTTCACAGCTGCAGAGATCTCTCAATAGCCTGATACCACAGCACCAAGGATTTCCAGAAAAATGGATAAGTTAACCTCTCAACAATTTGTGAGCTATCATTAGAAGACACAAGATGTTCATTCAAAAAGTCCATTCCAGAGATGAGAATTAAACATCATTATCACAACATGCAGCCCAATGCACTGCATTTTTTTCCACAAAGCTATTAGTAGCAGAGTCATGTCTCTGGGCACAAACCTATGGATCATGACATGAGGCGTGTCTAAAAAAATGTCACAGAAATAAGACCTGTAATTTATTTCCAGTTGAATTATTTGTAACTTTCAGTTATTTCTCTTGGCCTTTAGGGAAAAGAATAATCTCCAATCAGGGTTATGATCCCCTGGTTTCCTTGCCTTATACATTCACATAGACAGAACACAGTCCATAGACCTTCAAAAGATGTAAACAGATGTCTGAACATCAGTATTAATTTGTGAATAATGTTCAGAGTTCTCCACATCTTCCCAACTAGAAATCTACCTTAAAGCCTGATTTCACAGATTTAAAGCTATGAATTCAGCTCCCCAGGAAACTAATGAAAACTCTGAATCTTTAGATATTTTATTTACCAAGCTGCTTCTCTTAAACAAGCAGCTAGAATTCCCCTGAAAAAGAAAGATCACATTTGTGCAGCTTTTTAGGAAACAACACTTCATGTTCTTTCTTTTCCATTTTGCCAACTGCTCTGATTATTTGGCAACAACATAAGGATACACTTTCAAGAAGGAGTAACACACATAAAATACAAATGCAATCTCCAAAATGATTAGCAAATTAAGCAGCTGTTGCTCTGTATGAAAGCCAGCACCCTCAAGGTCCTCAACTTGTTAAAGCATGATCCAGCAATATGAAATAAAGGGCAGTTCAGTCCTGTCAGGACTTCAGTAAGGCTGGCAGAGCAGAATAGTTTGCTGCCCCTTTTCACTAAGTCAAGGAAAAAGGTCCTGCTCTCTATTTTGGCCACAGCTATTAAATGTAAAACCCACTACCAAAAAATTTGTCATAGACAGTTTAAACCTTGGAGACTACACTTTAACTCCATTCCTCATTACAGAAAGCAACATATACCCTGTTACTCATTATAATCTACAGGGGGTTTTGTGCCTTTTATTGTAGTTTTTACACAGGGCCATTGCAGAACAAGAAATTAGCTTTTTTTTTTTAAATAATACAAATGTATTTACGTTTTGTTCATTTTTGGACTGATGATGAAAATGCATATTAAAATGAAACAAAAGCTTTTATATCTTTCTGTGGGAGGAGTAGCCACAGAATTCAGAATCTCTCTAAAGCATAATCTAGAGGAAGAAATCAAAAGTAGATGTAGTGTTTCCATAAGAAACTGTATTTCTTATGTCACACAAATGTTTGCTACCTTGGAATAATCTGAAGGATTGAACATATTAGTAGATGACTGAATTTTCTATCCTTGCTGCCTACACACATTCTACTGCTTTAAAAATAAACACTTTAAATTTTTTTAAACTTCTAACAATTTAAAACAATTTAAAACCACTTTTAAATATTTTTAAAATAAATTTCTATTTTGGACAAATTTTGGTACATATTGAGCTTATTCTTCAATAAGACAAAACCAACTTTTTTTTAAGTGAAATTATCAACTTCGACCCCTACTCACTTGTAGCTGCTTAACTTCTCATTAATTAGTTGCAATACTGAATAAATTTTTACCCTTCTTCTCTGGATCTTTGCCATATCAAGAAAGGTAGGAACTTTAAGCAAAGACAAACTTGTTCAGTTTTACCCTTCAGCTGGAACTTGTTTTAAGAGTGGGTATGAATTACTAAAACCAACTGCTCAAATGCTAATACAAGGACTACCATAAACACACAGCAACTACCCCTCCATGAGAAAAATACCCACACTGGACTAACACTGCTCTAAACCAGGCAGCTGAGGCATTGGGTTAAGAGGAGAAAAAATGAGTAAAAGCAACAAATAGACAAACAAAATAATGAAACAAAAAATACAGCTGGGTCATTCTCCTCACCTAGTCCATCCAAAGGGATGCAAAATATATTGGTTTAACTTGCACTCTAAAGAGAACATAAGAGAAGACAAGTGGACAAGCCAGTCTCCAATACCACTGTTTAAATTGTAGCATTTACCTTAATGCAGCTGCCTGCTTGTACTTCTGAATAACAAAATCCTTTTGAAAGCACAGAATCACAGCCATTGTAATTCAGCATCCTTATTTGATACTCAAGGGATGATGGTTACAACTAAATAACGGAGCAGAGCAGCAAACATAAGAGACGATTCTGTGGCAATTAGCAGTTCAAGTTAAACTCGGACCCTCTGCCACTTTTACTATTACATAGTCATGTTATGCTCTGCAATCTCCACCACAACGAACCCACATGTAACTGCCTCATACCTAGAGCTTTCAGCACTAATATTTTCCAGTATCACGAAGACTCTCCTTGTGCTACAGATTTTGTTTTTCTTTCAGCGTGATTGAGATGCTACTTTTCCTCAAATTACCTCCTAATACTGCAGCAGGAGGTTAAGGTTTTGTTTGTACAACTATCAAAAGACAGTTACAGTAATTCGTGATGCAGCCATTTGTAGTGTATGAAGTGTTTGCCCAGACATGAACACCACTCAGTCTGGTGTTGTTGCTCCTCCCTCTTTTTCTGAGAAATCAAAATGAGGAACACTCCAGAATTTCAAAATTACAAGCTTTCTAAAATACAATGGCATTTTAATGCTCTCTGTTTATCATTCCCTTAACATCAGAACTCTAAACTTTAGAATAAATCCACTTAAAATATCATTTACACTTACATTATTTTGGTTATTTATTTTCTTCATTCCAGGCATAATTGTGATGCACACTTCACAAACTTCCACACTACACATGCAAACTGTCAATCATAGTGTATTAAAGCTCTTGGGACATCCATTAGCTTGTCTCTAGCAAACAACTTTTAGCCCAGCATTTATTATTTGCTATCTTAAAATGACATATGAGTGGATAATGGATAAGATCTTTCCAAATAAGTGGCTATTCCGTGTAATAGAAATACTACTCCACAGCTGCATTCTAATTGAGAAGTTGGCGTTGGAAAAATCTCCCAATTCATATGAGGAGGTAAAAAATTTAAAAAAAATTAAAAAAGAAAACTTTTTACAAATTAATCCATTGGCTATCTTCTAGAGAAGAGCTCTGATTAAAGCAATGCTACCTGAACCTGAAGAGAAAAATTCACCTTTGGGAGCACAGCTGCATGTACCTTGAAGAATGAGAGGCTAATTTCAGACTGTAAAAGACCTATTTTCCTTCTGCCCTAAACAGCTGCAAAGGTCCTGCACGTATGCAGTCAATTTATCCTGGATAACTCTGGACAGCAGAAGAGTAAATAATGCAGAGGACAGGATACATGCCACAGATATTTTGAAATGCACAAAAGAAAATCATACAGGGAGTGGTCTACCTCTCTTCAAGGAATATTAAACCTGCCAGCTTCAAGCTGACTCTAACAAAAACATCCAAGCAAGTATTCCAGACTGGTCCTAAAAATAGCATGAACACACTAACACGGTGCAGTGCTTGAACTCAGAGCAACTTTTGGACACCCTGGCTCTGCAATCAACCAGCTTCATGTAACAATCTTACTGCTCTCAACATGGAAGGCTGCTGCTACCAAAATCCTCACAGAAGTATTGCAGCTATTTATTGGCTTATTTTAAAATATTTATTATCTTTATAACACCAGTTATATGTCGACATTTGTATTGGTTTACCAAATTCTGCTGGTCTATGCTGACAGAAAAAAATTCTAAAAAGGCCTCTCTCACTTCAATTATACCTTTTTAACCAAAGCAGATTTAAATGCCATGCAAAGGTAATTCCTGAGAGGCCGAACACTGCTGAGCTCCCTTCACTAATTAACGGATCATTAGTAGGAAAGAACCCCTAACCGTTCACCCCCTGCACCACATACTGTCGTAATTACCTTTGTGAAGCAACCAATTTGTCTTTCAGTTATTTTGTCCAAAATCCCAAGTGAATTGACTCAACAGGGAGAAGGGGAAAAAAAAAGGAAAAAGGTTTTTTCATACACACGTTTATGAAAATTCATAATTTTTATGACTGGCAAAGAATCTAGGAGCTAAGTATTTCTAGCAAGATTTAAGAAAGGGGATTTCAGTAAATTATGAGAGTCAGAAGTGATAGACTGACTAAAGGAACAAAAAGCTTTTCTTGAGATTACAAATATGGATATATCACTGAAAAGCTTTCCCTTTGTGCAGCTTTTGAGAAAGTTAATTATATCATCACTTCATAATCACGACAGCTATGGGAAACAGCAAAACACTATCACAGCTGTTGTTTGCTTTTTCCAGACCATTGGAACAGGCACCTATTCGTTGCCTTTCAAAATACTTCCTTGCAGAGTTCCTAATGAACAAGTTCTCTCTGTGTTTATGCCCAATTGCCACACGAATCCAGTTGGAGATAAAATATAAGCTTTACTGCCAGTTATTTTACAACAGAGATTAGACTGCTCTTCTCTCCTTTTCACATCTCTGTGAAAATAAAACCCAAAAAACCCTTGCAGACATACACATTTTTTTGGATGCACCTCAACGAAACACACGAGAAACAGGCAAGAACCACGGATGCCAAACAAGACAGAAGACAGGCTGGCTGCAAAAAAACACACCAAGGAACCAGGTCATTTACTATATATACTCCACTTCTAGAATTCTATGTTCAGCTGGTGTTCGTGTTTCGTGAACATCATTTAGGATACAAAGTTTCAGTCATTAAAGAAATCTAAGCCACAAAGACGTTTTTTGCTTTGAAACAATGTAGCAAACCACACACCCGAATTCTTAGTGAATTTACACACCCTTCTTTTTGGTCGCAACATGAAGCAGCTGGGACGCTCCAACACATAAAATGTGGAAACTTACATCTTCCAGGAAATAAGACTTTGGACCTCCTGTGTTTCATTTCATTGCCACTGCTAATGCAACTTTTACATATATGACTGAGGCTCACACTAAATCTCATCTATAATCTACTATGATATTTATTTTTTATCTAAAAATATGTACCTCACAGGACCATTGAATAAAGTGACAAGACCTGAAGGCACTGTCTTAACTGAGTTCATAAAACACGGCTCTGAAAGCCAAAAGAGCCCACAAGAGCCTGCTGACCTTCAATG